ATATATATATATATATATATATATATATATATATATATATGTATATATACACGCGATCTCGAGGTGTTCTCGCGAGAGAGTATTTATTTATTTATTTATTTTTCGAAAAACACTCTCCATCGCAATTGATGATGATTTAGGCCGATACACACTGCCGGTTAGCCAAAGTGTGTAAAAAACGCGGCGCGGTATTGCGCGGACCGCGTAAAACAAAAAGAAAAATTTTATGTTGGAAAACGTTTCAGTTTTGATGATATATTTGCCTGTCGCGTGATTTCAGAGGATGAACAACGCACGAGCCGAGTAAAACGCTCGCGGCAGACAACGACACAGAGAGAAATCAAAGAAGGGAAGCGATGGTCGTGGAGTGGCTGTGCCCCGGACTTAGGCCGACCAGGAGCAACAGGCCTCGTCTTTTGCACTGCAAAGTGATACTTCTGGACGAGCACGAATTGCTGCAGGATGTTTTGGTGAGTTCGCCGTTCCGATTACCCTCCTCCTCTCCTCCCGACTCGCGTCGGTTAACTGACTCGAGCGATCTTTCTTCTCACACACACACACACTCCTCTTATCTCGTGCGGTTCGTATTATCTTCAGAAACGCAATACTCCGATTTACCTTCTGCAAATTGATCTGAAAATTGTCTCCGGATAAAAAAAAAAAAAAAAAAAAAAACAAAAAAAGAGCACATACGACCCTGTGGCGCGTATGTGATGTACGCACTACCGTAATTCGTGCGCGAACGCGAGACGCCACGTTGTAATTTAGCGAATTAATAGCATTTTCTTTCCCAGCTCGTTTCTAGATGGTCGTTTCGAGTGTGCGTCGGGGGGGCTACTCGTGCCCCGCGGCGGCCTACGGTGGGTTATGGCCGACTGTGCGGCTCCGCACGAGAGAGAGAAAGAAAGAGAGAGAAAAGGCGCGCAGCAGTACATATCAACTCCGGGGCTACCCGGAATTCCTTCGGTCTTCTTCTCTGTTATTAGACGATATGCCAAAATTGGCGGTGGGCCACCGGTGGGGCACCACAAACGCCCGTGGGTAACGCCGTTGTGTGTGCCTCCTCCGCACCGCGTCGACGGCCGGTGCCGCACACTAATTCTCGCGCGTCTTTTCAACCTACCTCTACCTATACGTTTACGTTCTCTTTTTTTCTCTCTCTCTTTCTCTCTCTCTCTCTCTCTTTCTCTCTGTCTTTCTTCCTCACTCGCGTGCGGAAATCCTTCGCGTCGCGTTATCTCTCTCTCTCTCTCTCTCTCTCTTTTTCTCTTTTCCTCCATCCTTTTCACTCTCCCTCTACAATCGGTCTAGCTCATTTTGTCGATTAACATTCCGAGCCTGTATAAGCATCCCGCACGAATCCTCCTTCTGCGTATGTGTCTATATGCGCGTAAAACGCCCGCGAGCCTCCAACGTAAACCGAAATTCAGTCGAGCGTTGAAAACGAGAAGATTATTCCTCAGGGAGAAAGAAAGAGAGAGAAACCCCCGCCGGGGGTCCTTCGCGCCGCGTTCTATTATGAATTATGCAGAATTCGCGGTGAGAAGCATCGAATCCTCTTGGACGAGTCTTGCTAATTCGCTTTAACAAAATGTACAAATGTGTATCGCGACAAAACTGTTCTTTGCTTTGACTTCTTTGGAATATTTTTTTTTCTATTCGCGAGTGTGCAAACGCACACTCCGATATATAGATGTTCGAGCTGGATTTGGAGATTCAAATTAGAATTTGTGTAATTTGTTACACATCGGCAAAATTATTATTTCTCGAAAAAAAAAAAAAAGAAACAACTGCGGAATGTTGGAGGACGATGCGATCGTCGAGACGCGCAACAAAGAGAAACGATCATTGATAAGCGAGTCCGATACATCTATACACAGGCGAGTATCCCTCGCTATCGGTATACGCACGGTTGGCGTATCTCTAGGCCTGTATCTCTTCACCCGGTTTTATATACCGGCCGATCTCTGGCGGAACCAGTCTCGCGTAACCGCGGCGTAACAGCGCTGAAGAATGACCGCGCGTCAAGATAATGCGACCGGATAAACGTAATTCTTTTCCGGCGGAATCGGGATCGCGTCCTTTCGCAGAACGCGCGCGCGCGCGCGCGCGATGCGCAATTTCGCAACGGAATTAGCATTAAAAGCGACGGTCGAAATATCGCACAGCAACGCCCGAGGCTTGCGAGAATTTGATTTGTTTTTCGCACGAAGTTTCTCGCACGGTATCGAATAATTTCAATCCGACAACAAAAACGAGCGTCCGACAACGTGCGCGCGACAATTTGTTTGATTTTCCCGGTGTGGGAAGTTGTCGCGCGATATAAATCAATCGACAAATCAATCGGCGACTATATCGAGAGAAAAGAGACGAAAACCGCAAGTAATTGCATTCTACACCAGTTCCTCGAAAATTTCCTGGTGGAAAAAACCTCCGGATTGCCATCTTTTTTTTTTGCTCTTCCTCCTCCTTCTCCCCCCTTCGACGTCCAATTACACAAATGGCACTTTGCGCGTCCGCTGCAAAAGTTGGTGGTATACAAACAACGTCGTTTTTTTTTTTTTTTTTTCCACTGCTCTTTTTGCTCCCGCTACTATTCGTGCGCTTTTCGTGGATGTTACCGTTCCCGGTCACGATACACCCGGAAGGCAAGTTTATCCGCGATACAAAAACCAGCGGACGTTGGCTGATTGCCGCCGCCGTCGTCGTCGTCGTCGTCGTCGTCGTCGTCGAAGGCTTTCGTCGTTCATTCTTCTCTTCCTTCTCATCATGTACTGTAATCAGAAGGACGTGGTTCTTATTTTTCACGATGACGTTCTTTTTTTCTCTCGCTGAATCAACATTTTTCACTTTTTTTTTTTTCACGATGACGTTCTTCCTTTCTCTCACCGAATTTCCATTTTTGGCGCGGGAACCAACACATCCTGGTTTTTTTTCTCGCGTTTTCGATCGTGATTTGAAACACGCTCGCTTCGAGAGAGCGATTTTTTTGGCTCGACGCGTGATTTTTCGCCGTGTTAGAAAGCTACTTTGTTTTTTATTTTTAGAGAGAGACGAGGATCGGTCAAAATCGTATTACAACGATTCCCACAACGAGCTCTAGAAGGGAGCGAGGAGCCGGGAGGAAGCGGAATGCCTAAATAAACGTTTAAATTATACTATGTATATGAAAAATGAAAGAGAAATCACCGGGAATAACCGATAGAAAGAGAGAAGAAGGAGGGGGAAGGGAAAAAAAGGAGAACCGGGGGGTAGCAAAAGAAAGAATGATCGTTCGGAACACGCAAGTTGGAGAAGATGATTACCCATCGGGCTGAACCTATACTCCGGACTCTTCTAGGCCTTAGGCGAAAAGAAAACGGGCGAGGTCTTTCGTCTTCCTCGGCCTCCTCCTTCTTCCGCTTCTTTCGCCTCTTAGCCAGCTTCTTGCTACACTTTTAAACGCGTCCGCCACTCTCATTACTCTACCTTACGTGCATCTCTCGCGTTTCCTTTCGTTTATTCTTCGTTCGACTTAAACTTTATGGTCGGTGGTTTGCTCTCTTTCTTTCTCTCTCTCTCTCTCTTTCCTTCTGCGGCTTTTCATACACAGTTTATCGTATGCACGGTTGTTATTCGAATCCTCATCAAACAGAAAGATGGAAAAACGGACCTCATTACGGATACTCTTCGTACACACTCGTCAGATTTTTACATCCCCTCGCATTGTCGGTATATCGTTGCGGAGCGTGTAAATCATCGCGAGCGCGAGTAAAAAAAAACGAGGATAATAATCACCGCTTGTACGAAATTCAACGATGAAAAAAAAAAAAAAAAATACCCTGACGCAGCGCATCATCCGTTAGTTTCCCTTGGGATAACAAACGCGCGTCACGGTTCGCAAACACCAGTGGGAAACCCGATTTCTCGCCGGTCGAACCGACCGAGGTACGTTTCCTCGCGGTGTTATTAAAAATATATTTATATGCGCGAGCAACTGGTTTAAATGTATAATTTTATATACTTATGTGTGTGAGTGTTCGCGAGTTCAACACGTTGAACACAAGTAAAATACATGTGCGATACATTTTTTGTTTTGTTTTGTTTTTTTTCAGAGTTCGAACCTAGGTCAGGAATTACTGGATAGAGTGTTCAAACACCTTAATTTATTGGAAACTTCGTACTTCGGTCTGCGCTATCTCGATCACAGAAATCAAACGGTAGGATATGTAACAAATTAATTTTTTTAACACGTAAACTCTCTTCGTCGCTTCTCGCTCCGACGACGTACAATTTGAAGGAGCGTAATTTTCGCGAACCGAGCGTGGTTTATATAATGTATGCGATTTTTAGCAATGGCTCGATCAGAGCAAAAAGCTCGGTAAACAATTAAAAATTCATAAAGGGGATCCCGGCTCGGACGTTCACACTCTCTATTTTGGCGTCAAGTTTTACGCGGCGGATCCGTGCAAGCTCATCGAGGAAATCACCAGGTATGTTCCACATACACACACTCACACACACACAATTTTGTTCAAAACATACGTTACACATTTGAATTATTTTTTTAAATCTCTAAAATATACATCGCACACATTTGTACTTTGTACTATTTTTTAATATTTAATAAATTTTTTCTACTTAATGCACAAATTTTAATTTTTTTTTTTGTTTTTTTAAATAACTATATTCTCGTCGTAAATATATTTTCTCGACAACAATGTGGATTTGTTAAGAGAAAAAATTGCAAGAAACGTGAACTTTTCTTTGAAGCGCGCACGACACGCGGATAATATGGATGATTTTTATTCGACGTCATGCTCTCGTGTAAACGATCCTTTCACGCTCGGTGTCTCGAAATTCCAGGAAATTCCAGGGACATCACGGTACGTTGCGGACGCACGAGAATTCCACGTGCGTCGAATTTGTTTGAAGCGTCTTATACAAGCGCACATATACAAGCATTTCTCTTTCGCGCGCTATAGCGCAACCTCGCGGCGTTGTGTGTTCTCTCTCTCTCTCCGTCTCTCTCACTCTTTTTTTCTTTCGTGCGCTCTCGCGTTATTTTCAATAAATGATTTTGTTTTTCTTATTTTTCGCGCGCTGAAAAAGAAAAGAACGCGCGTTGCGTGACAATTGTCACGTCTTGTCAAAAAAAAAAAAAAAGAGAGAAATTATCAGCGTTTTGTTTTCTCTGGCTTGTTTCGCAGATACCAATTCTTCCTGCAAATAAAACAGGACATTCTGCAAGGGAGACTGCCCGTGTCCTTCGACTTGGCCGCCGAGTTGGGCGCTTATGTTGTTCAATGTAAGAGAGATTATCGTCTTTCTGAATTAAAGAGAATTTTGCCGTTCTGTCGCGCGGACGCGGAGATGCGCGCGCTCCTCCGCCTATTATTTCTTGTGCACACTGCGCGTATGTAACTTACACACGTAGATATCATTCATCGCATATATATGAATGGAAACGGGTAAAGCGTTAAAAAATCGCGCGAAAGAGAACGCCATTCACGGTGAGAGGGCACAGCGAATACGAAAACTTTATGTACATTATACATTATATATATACACACACACACACACAGACATACACACAGATATATAGAAGCGCATCGGGAGATAAATGCGAGCAAACAGATGTGCCGGGGTGGTCCGCACGCGTTTTAGTTATCTGATAGGAAGATTCAAAGTCTCGTACGTACAGACAAATGGAAAAAAGGAAAACGGCAAACTAAAATACGCTCGTGTTTGCATCTCATCGTCGTCAAAAAGAGACGAAATGAATCGTACCTATTCAACCAGCTCGGCGAAAGACGAAAAATAGGCGCGGTGTGCGAGAGAAAGATAGACGCAGCGAGAAATGGAGCGCGGGATGAAAAACGAGAAAAACGTTTTGCGCGCGCGGACTTTTTTTTTTTTCGTTCTCTTTCTCTTGCGAGATATTATCGCGAGCCCTATTGTACATATACAGAACGCGTTTGCGCTTTTCCGCGATATATATTTTCTCTCGAAAGACTTGCGGACAATTCCCGTCGACAAAATCTCTTCGAGATATCATTAATGAGAAAAATAAATTAAATGCACATTTTCCGCATATCTGCGCATCTGCGCGATATATAAATATTAACGATATTTTTTAATTTATTTATAAGTATTGTGTTATCTCTGTTTAGCGGAGCTCGGTGATTATGACCCGAGACGACACTCGCCCGGATACGTCACCGAATTTCGATTTCTCGCCAACCAAACCGCCGAACTGGAGAATCGTATAGTAGAAATCCACAAAACTCTTATGTACATTTATTTCACATACGTTTCATGTATCTAGTATTTTCGAACAGTACACGTTAAATAAAAATTCAACAGATTTTTCAACTTTGTTTAATTTGTCACGTAAATTCTGTTGCTCTTTTCAGAGGACAATTACCTTCTGCAGCGGAATTAAATTATTTAGATAAAGTAAAATGGCTGGAAATGTATGGAGTGGATTTGCATCCTGTGTTGGTACGTAGACTCGTTCAACATTGATAAAAGAAACACTGTTGTGTTGATCTTGCAAATTTCTGTCATTCGTTTGTTTTTACACGCAGGGTGAGGATAGCGTGGAATATTTTCTCGGTTTAACACCGAGCGGAATAATACTCTTGCGCAACAAAACCAAAGTTGGAAATTATTACTGGCCCCGGATTAATAAAATCTATTATAAGGTACAAAATTTCCATGATTGTTTTAACTCTCGTTGCGACTCTCAAGTAGAAACCAACACCGAGAATCGCTTAAAAAATTGTGACGTAACACTCGTGAATGCTAAGCTTTCGCGTTTTTGTCTTTATAGTCTTCACGCCAAGACACAAATTGCGTCAATTTTCAGGGCAGATATTTCATGTTGAGGGTGAGCGAGAAAAATTCCGAGGAGAGAACGCACGGCTTCGAGACACCGTCGAAGGGAGCTTGCCGTCACCTCTGGAAATGTTGCTTGGAACATCAAGCGTTTTTCCGACTGATGGCAACCGGACCGCCGCCCTTGAGTCCGTACTCACGCTTTCATTCGTACAGTCCACCGTCCACTCTGGAGAAACACTCGGCCATTCGACGAAATCCGCCGCCGTTTCAGAGAACTCCCAGTCGCCGAGCTCAGAGACGGGTCGTCGAGGGTCAAGAAATGGTCGGCTCGTACATCGAAACCCCCGCTACTGTGATCCCGAGCCCGTCGAGCAACAATCTGTCGAGCAACATTCTGTGTAATACGCAGAGACAGGTGAACACCTCGAGTCCGAGAAGCACGAGAAGCGCGCCTTGGACGCAGAGTCAGCCTCGTGGTCTTTACACCTCGTCTAGTCCTCGCTCCGTTCGCTCCGCGGGAACGGCACCGGCAGTTAGTTTTGACGCTTATTCCGTACGTCAAAGACTCTGTGGCTTGATATGACAAATTAAATTGATTTTTTAACGCAGCTCTTAAGTAGACTTCAACGTCGGAGCAGCTCCGTGGAGAGTCAAAGCTCGGGGGACAGTCACAGTCGCAGCGGTCATCGTAGAAGAAGTCATAGTCACAGTCATCGCCGACACAGCCGACACTCCGACTGCGAGTCCGAGCTCTCGAGGAGTTCGGATACGAGATCGGGTCATCGAAAACATCGCAGGAAACACCGGAGTTCCCGTTCTTCCAGGTAATATACTTACATATTCACCCTGTTTGTACATCGTGTTACGCTCGCACTCGTTGCGATAACATCTCGTTCTCACAATTGTTTTCTCCGAGTGAGGATACCTTTTTTGATTAATTCAAATTGCGATTCCTTATAAGCATTGGCGTGCAATTAGAAAGTGGTTTGATGATAACGAGTTGCGTTCCCACCAATAAACAGAGGTGATCGACCTTTACCATTGCGTTTTGCGCGAGCAAACATTTTTATTTTAAACAAATACGAATCAATTCGAGTCATTGTCATTATTTTTTGTTGCAGTAGACACGAACTGATAGATTCGGAGCCGCAGTGGAGAGAAGCGCAGAAACGAAAAGGGGAAGGCGTGCAAAAAGCTATCGTGAGTGTATCGTCTCATTATAGATCTTTGTTGCTCGTCGAAAACTCACTCGCTAACGTTTGACAAATTGATTGATTGCAGGTGAGTCACACGGAGCCTAGGAGAAGACACAGAAGCAGACACCGAAGTCCGCAAAAACAGCCGTTGCCGGATGAACTTCGAAAGTATATACTTTTTGAATGTTTATAAATAATTCTGTAATTGACTAAACTAGCTCTTTCTACGCTGCTTTGTCATTTTCCACTTTGATGCGAGATGTACGAAAATGTTTCGCTACAATTATAAATATTAAAAAAAAAGTTACGTGTTTGATAATGTTGTTTTCCAGACATTTGGAATTTGGCCTAGTCGACACAAGCGGGATGAGCGAGCAGCAACGTCGTGAAATATCTTATACGGTAGTGCAATCGCAATCCGTACAGCAATCCCTTTTACAGTCCAACAATTCCCGATTGGACGACACAGACTCATCGTCCCTGCCTAGGTACGATGATCTCAAGACGGCCTGCAATCTCCACGGCCATCCTCCGCAATTGGAGGATGATACAGGATCTGTAGTCATTGTTTAGTTACCCCCCCCCCCCCTTCAGTATTCCTTTGCATGGATTTTTTTTATTTATTTCGAGCATGTGTATCTACTTTATAAGCATGTGTGTCCCCCTTTTATTATTTATTTGAGACGCATGACGAATCCTTAATAAACAAAGTGGAAATTAACTGCTTGTCGCACCTGTTTTATTTATACATCCTCAGCTGACACTCACTTCGCTTCTGGCTGTGATCCATTTAAAATTACAAAGGCGATGCGTGCCGATCGCCTTCGTTTTTTTTTTGGGAGTCGTAATAATTTTATTGTTCGTGTGTTTTCGATTTTTTTTTTTTTTTCACTGCGTGTGCATTATGTGTGTATTACGTGGCATCGTGCGCCACGTATTTGTGTAATAAATATTGGTATCTTGGGAGAACGCGGACGACGGTCCGAAGTACGAAACTCGAAGCACAGTTCCGAGTCTTTCTCGTGACGTGATCCTCGTACATACATATACATTTCCCCCGTTCAAGTCCCTACATGTTTCCTCGTGCACTTTTTGGCAGTTTCTTCGTATTTTTTTGTTTTCTTTTTGAAAATTTACGCTTTCAAGTATCCACACACACACATCGATTTACACAGAGAAGTGAATGCATCTAGATCAGTCTGGGAATTGAATTTGTCTCGCTGAATCCGCAACGCGGTGTGCATCTTGAGAAAGTTATTATAATCAATGTATGTAACAAAAAACCAAATGCATCGAGAGAATCCAGTTTTGTAATGGACGTTGGAATGGTGTTTGCTACACAAAAAAAAAAAACAAAAAAAAAAACAAAAACAACAACGTGCCCCAGACACTGTCAAGGATTCCCTTTCAGAACTGTCGGATCCGTCGGCAAACGGGAAAGAAGAACTTTGCGGCATCATAATTGTGACGGAAGTTTTAACTTGCTTGCGGCAACATCCGGTCGGGTCGAGGCAAAATTTCCCGAAGCTCGAAACGAATGTAGCACGAAGAGGGACTTTTATTATACTCGTAACTGCAGAGTGTCTATAGGCAATAATACCGACAGCGGACTCGGGGAAAGCACGCCGCAGGAGTTTTCAAGCTGCTGCTCAAGCTCCGCCGACAGCAATAAACCCATCCACGTAGTACGTATCCCAGTTTGCTCATTATTTTTATTAAATCGACGTTCGAGAGATTTTGTTTTGAGACGCGCATTGCGCGTGTAACCGAGCGACAATTACGCGTTCGTTTGATAAAGAATTACATTTTTGTTTTTTTTTTGTTTTTTTTTTTTTTAACAATTGTATTAATTCAATTTGTTACAAAATTTTTTTTGCACATACACATTACAAAAAAGTATAGTTGCATTCTCTCGTCTTCCGTGAATTTTTGCTTTCGATCGTGTTAGATTTTGTGTTAAAACATCTACTGCAACAGAACACTGTGCATAAATTTTCTCTTCATAAACGCAATTGTACGCATGCCTGGTAGTCGTTTTCTTTTTCTTGTGACAAAAATATACAAAATATGTAGAATGAATTTCCCTTAAATAGTAGATTAGTAACAAATGGTTTTGTTTGGTGTATAGACACAATTGCAATTAGGGGGGAAGGTACGCTATGAACTGCCCTCAAATCAAGAAATCTACCCTCCTGTTGACACTACTCTGGATGCTGTTCTTCAGCCCATTATATCGTAAGTGCTTGTTTTTTGTCGCTTTGTGCTTTCCTCTCACTCGAATATCATAAATCAAAAATCTTGTTTTGTAATTCAAACCTTGCTTTATTAATAATCCAATGCGGTATTCATTACGTATTTATATATCGATATATATATATATATATATATATATTTTAAATAAATATTAAAAACTTTACATATATATATATCATAAGTCTTTAGAAAAATTATATTTACATATTCTTTGATATATATTATCTAATTTAACGTGTAATAACTTTGATTGTTTCAGAACATTAACGAGGAGGCAACGAAGCTACCCAAAACAATAGCAAAACTTTAATACAAAATAAATCAGTTTTATATTAACATGTTGTATATTTAAGAAAAGTTTTCATACCTTAAAACACAAAAGTTGTTACGCTATAGACTATTCGGTAGTTGAATTTTATGAGATGAGGAATGATTGTTTAATAAATCGCAGTATGTTTTAACCTCCACGTGAGAGACAAGCATATATCTCTATTACATAGAAATCTTTAAGTTTCTCTCGACGCCATGTGTCTCATAAGATTGCCTATAAATTTTTCCATTTTCTTCAAGTCTTGAGCTATCTCCGTCTTGTACTGCAAACACTGTAAACAATTTTAGATATTATTGTTATTAATAATGCTGTTTTTTTTTTTACAAAAAAAAAATACAAGATACATTGTTATTGACTTACCTGTCGATTGTCCGTTAACTTTAGACACAAAACTCCTTTACTGTGGCAATACTTCATTGTATATCGAGTCTAAAACGACGAGAAACAAGTTTAATCAAATTTTACGCCATTAATCAAATGCACAATATGTCGTGTAAAGTAGACGGGATAAGACAACCACGTTTTCAGTGCGAGAAGTACAAAAAAATAATAATAAAAGAAAGCACAACGTGTATACACACTGTTGTAATATTTGGATTATATTTTGCAAAAGACATTTTGTGAAACAAAAAATTAAATATTCGTTAGAGTAGAAACAGGACATAACCGCGCTATCTTTGTTTACGTACGTTTATCGGATCTTGAAGATATAACCTCTCGGCACTTTTTTCGAATTCTTCCCACGAATTCAAGTACGTCATTTTTGCCACCAATAAAAGTATAATTATCAGCACGAAACACTACCACATACAAAATGTGAGCGGAAATCACTAAGTTATTTTTTAAAACTTTTCGAAATGAGACAGAAAGAAATCTCGTATCTGTTGGTTAACAAACCGCCCCCCGAAGGGCCACCTCACAACACGAGACGAGATTGTGGGAAAAGACACGTTTCGATTCAAGCAACACCAGAACCATCTGTGTCTCGAGAAACTAAGTCCTGCTGACTACGTCACTCACGTTTGTTGACCCTGCTGACCTTCGGTTACTACGTCACTTGTGATCGCTTGGTCGGTAACGATATGTGATATTCTTTCTGAAAATACAGAGAAAAATGGTACGTACAATTTAAATATAAACATAACTACACATGAATTTATATTAGTATAAATACGATTAGATATATTTAATTAATAAATATTATGTAATTATTTTTCTAGACTCAGACAACAAGCAGAAAATTTACTTATTTATGTATCAATGCACCAAACGGTGTCAGACGACTGGTGACATCAATTTATTCATGTAAGAGTTTTCATTTTTATGTAAATTTAAATAAGCGCGTTATATTATCACATCGAACCAGTTTTATGTAAATTTAAAATTTTACACGTCTATTCTGTTTTATTTTCTTTTTCTTGCAAAGTATAATACATTTTTCTTAATTGAAATTTAATTATTAAAATATGTGTGAGTAACAAAGTACAACTGAGTTCTTGAAATGTACAATTTTTTATGTCGTTATTCTTTACGGTGAATATCAACAATTGTGTTTGTAATGTTTTAGCATCTAAAGAAGACAAAAAAGAAGTTGAAAGTGCCCAAAGCAACATGGATCAAAATGTTCTCATCAAAGATGTATGCCTGTCTTGCTCTTAGAAGTGTTAATTTTTTTATTTATTAAACCTTTGAATATATATACACAATGTAAAGTAGTAGATCATGAGTGGAATTAAAAATAATTTTATCAAACACAGGTGGGGAACAGCGGCGTGATAGCTTTGAATCGACCTGCAGCATTGAATGCGTTGAATTTGTCGATGGTCCAAAAGATATATCCCGTTCTGAAACAATGGGAATCTTCCAAAAGACTAGTAATTATTGAAGGTATGGGTGAAAAAGCGTTTTGTGCGGGCGGAGATATCAAATCGCTTGTTTTGGCACTGAATGAGTCAGGAAGAAATACTTTGGGAGAAGAGTTTTTTAGAAGAGAATACTCGTAAGCTGTAAAAGAATTTTATTTTTTGTGCCTATATTTCTCTTGTATCTTGAATATACGCAAGAGGTTTTTGTTTTTTGTTTTTTTTTTTTACATCTAGATTAAATTACTTGATTGGAACATACAAAAAGCCTTACATAGCTCTCATAAATGGAATAACAATGGGTGGTGGCGTTGGATTATCAATACACGGCAAGTACAGAGTCGCCACGGAGAAAACGCTCTTCGCTATGCCAGAAACAGCAATAGGTCTGTTTCCTGATGTAGGTGCGACCTATTTTCTGCCCAGGTTGAAGGGAAAGTTGGGTCTTTATTTGGGACTCACGGGATACAGATTAAAAGGTATGTGATACGAACAAACCTGGTATTTTATGCAAATGTACACAGTGTCGGCGCTGTGCCTTAGCATGAGAAGTTGCCACAACGATATCTGAAACAACAGAAGACATTATTTGCAATGTTCATGTGTTATGTTATCAAACAAAGGTGTTGACGTGCTTCTCGCTGGAATTGCAACGCATTTTGTGCCGTCAGAAAGACTAGAGAATTTAAAAACTGATTTGTTAACGTCACAAGAGACGAATATCGAGAAAATATTAAACAAGTATCAACCGAATTTGAATCACGAATTTAGCTTAGCTCCACACATGTCGCAGATAGAACATTGTTTTTCCGCTTCGTCCGTAGAAGAGATAATTGAGAGGTACGTACGTGTATATGTGGGGATTTAATCAAATTATCATTATGTATGTGTGTGTGTGTGTTTGTGTGTACACGTGTATACAAATTTTTCTGTATAAAGGCTGAGGAATGATAATTCAGAATGGGCACAGAGAAACGTAGAAACACTGATGAAAATGTCTCCATCCTCGCTCAAAGTCACAAAAAAAGCAATTGACGAAGGAACCAAAAAATCTTTGGCGGAGTGCTTGCAGACCGAGTATAGATTGGCATGTGTCTCTCTGCATAAAGACAGCGACTTCTACGAAGGTGAGTAAAATTTAACTTTCGTTTTATAAGATCGTCTTATTTTATTTTTTTTTTTCTGTTAACGTTGTTTCAAATTCAGGTGTCAGAGCTCTTCTGATTGACAAGGATCAGAAACCAATATGGAAACCCAGCAGCTTGACCGACGTAACGGAAGAAAGCATAGCTAAACGATTTGCGAATCTTCCCCCGGAAAAAGAATTGAATTTGCACACCGAAACCAAACTATGAGATTTGAAGAAAAACGATATTGTGATAAAAATCAATTGTTATACAAATTTTATTTTTATATTTCTTACAGTTTTATACACACTGATTGTTGGAAGAATTTTATGGTGAAATCTGTTTGTATTTTGTTGGTAATTTTTTTTTTTTTTTTTCATATATTCGATTTTCTGTTTTATATACAATAAACATTGCGGATAAGAAACCAAGAGCAGAGAGATTAGTAGTTTGCAGACGATAAATTGTAGATAGATAATAAACCAGGAAGAGAATAAAAATAAATGAAATTGTATGCGACGCGAGAAAGCGAGAGAGAGAGAGAGAAAGAAAGAAAGAAAGAAAGAAAGAAAGATGAAGAAGGGGATCGACAACAACAACAGGATACAATCGCCGTGAAACGAAAGCTGATAATCTCACGCCGTCGACAGTGTCGTGTGAATGGTCTCGCGCGGCTGTTCGCCCCGTTGCCGGTCTTTCAGTTTCTTTTGGACCACAACGCGGGCACGACAGCGGATGCGGTCCAAGGCGCTATGCGTGTATGAAAGTTTGCGCGAGTTTACCCCCTCGGGAACCTGTTTACATGTTTTTTTGCGCGACGTCCTATCGGATATGGAGATGTGAAAAGCGAGAAAGCGTAAGTGAGGAAAAGAGATAAAAACAGGTACATATGCGTGTAATCATGCGATATTACGTGAGACAAACCGGTGTGATCGCCGAGATCTGCTCGCCGCAATTTTCCTTACCTACGTGTTTGAAACGATCATTTATACGACGAACTCGTCGATTCCCAGCATCGATTCTCGCATCGAGCAATAATAAACGGTTGTATTATCTTCCGTCTCTAATGTAATTAGCATATTACATTTCTCGCTCGGTCGTTACTTTCTAAGGCCGTAAATTAGATCGTATCTCGCGAACATTAGCCTCTCTCATTAACGAGAGGAAGCCTCCTCACCCGCCTTTCAATCGACAGTCTCGATCGATGTCCAATTCTCTGGCTCCCCCGATCGTGTGTAATATATTCGGCCGTGAATTACGCGTCGAAGCTACGTCGAAACGAAAGTGTCAAATTACCGGCTTTGAATTTATAAACACTTTCTTTCGCAACAAGGCGCTCCGCGATTATGAATGTTCGAAACTGGCGCGTGAAATGAAGCGAGACGAGTTTGTTGTCGCGCGACAACAAACGTTTTGCTCGATTGGCCGATTGTTCGTGATTCAATCTCGCGCGAAATTTTTCATTCACTCGGGGGTTTTTTTTTTTTTTTTAACGGAGAATTATTTAACGAAATTCTCCGCGAGATCAGATAAGATAAAAATGAATCAGCCGCTGAATAGACGAGAGCCGCGTTTACAACGTGAAAGCGGATGTGAAAATTTCGGGTTCCCGTCGTCGAGAGGAAGGTGGGAGTGCGCGCACGGCTCGTTCGAAATCGCGGCGGCGATAATCTTTTTTTTTTTCTTTTCGTCGACGGCCCTGAATGAGCGCGCGAGTGAAAGTATAGGTGTCAAATATTTCTCGCGATTTCATTTTGCGCGGAACCCAAAGCGCCACTTAACGTGTGGCCACGCCACGTGTGTTTTACATATGCATTAGCACTGTTCCTTGGAAGCAGACGCTTGTGAGGCGTTGTGTATAAATTTTTATTTACACTCGCGATAGTAATCTAAAACCGAAAGGCACGGATTGAGAATAAATAAATTAATTAATTAATCAATTAATTATTATAAATTATTATATTATAAATAAATTATATTTACATTCGCGATGGAATTTCTAGAATTAATAATAAAAATCTCGAAACAAAAGAAGTTTGTATGTCTGCGCGCGTTTCGCCTTATTAATATTCTACAGAAATACATTCGTACACACCATCTCGTTTTCGCAAAATGTAAATCCGGAGAACGTGATTTTTTTCTTTTTTTTTTTTTATACATAAGAATTTAGAAATTAGAAATTTTTAATTATCTAGAAATTTGTTTTGCACGTAAGAATTAATGATAATATTCGCGCATTTGAGTTTCTCTGGTCTTAATTACTATCGAGTTCTTTGTATAACTTTGGTCGAGAGTCGGTCGAGTGTTATCGATCGCCGAAGAGTTTTGTTTAAGTAACTTCGGTTGACATTTTAGGGTGCGCGCGTGTGTGTGTGTGTATGATATTAGCGGGAGAACGCGTACCACTTCGATGTGAAAGTTGACGATGGAATGTGTCGCGCGCCGCAACACGCGCAATGACCCGCAATGACTAGATAATTATTACGCACACATGTTGCGTGAAATATGTTTTTCCTTTGAGAGTAAACAAATTTAAATTTGCACACGTCATTCCTGATAATCGCACGTAGATATATGTGTGTATTGTTTGCGAGTTTTTTTTAATCTGAATTAAAACTAAAACGAAAACTGCAGCAGCGCGATGAGCAAGGAAGCACAGAAATGGACGAATTCAACAAGATAAATGATATTTCTCCCAATATCTCCCAAATTGGTCCAATTTGCGAAAGCGCGACCGACGTGTATATATACGTATCTGTGCGTGCGCTTTCTCTTCCTCGTACTTATATTATACGCGACGTAGTTCATGATAAAAGAAGTTAGAGAGAGAGAGACTCTCGGAATCGTCGCGAATAAAGGTGAGAGACTCGATCTACCTGAGTTTTGCTCGGAATTGCACGGTGACTTCCGCGCGTTCCGAACAGAGAGCGCAATTTAATCCCTCTGTAATGAAATTTCTTACGTGAACACACGGAACACACAGAATGTGAAAGCGACCTTGAAAAACGCCGTGTATCGTCCGTCGCATTCCGCGTTCGAACGAACGCTTTCGATCAAAAGGAGTAATCGAAAAGAAAAGATCGAAGGCGCGAGCCGCCTCCGCGGTCTCGCAGAGAGATGATCCTTAAAAAAAAAAAAAAAAAAATCGAACGTTGTAGCTTCCACGAGGCCGCGAAGCGTTTCGCCGACGATGACGTAGTTCGATCGAGCACGCGGCGATGGTTGTCGATTCTGACGGACGAGTCTCCGATCCGATCCATGCGGTAGCACCGAACGTGTTCATCGAGCGCCACGTGCCGTCGGGGGATGCCGAGTGCCAACGCGGCAAACCGAGCAGCGATCCCGCAGCAGCTTTCTCCCATCGGGACTCCCATCGGGAATTGGTTCAGGCCCGACGGTGGCGCGGAAACCGACAGGCGCGTCGCATCGTTCACGATCGAGCCGCGCGAGATCGAATGGTAGGATTTCCACAGCCGTTACTTATTTAAAAAAAATTTTTTTTTTTTTATGAGTACGTTCTTCCGTGAATAAAATAGAACAAATCTAATCTCTTTTGTTATTATTAGCAATCGATGAGAGATGATCTCTTTTAGGATAAGATCGACGAGCAATGAGGTCTCCAAATTCGGCGTATCCACGACGACCACGCGAGACAATCCGAGAAGATGTTACAGAACGTCGACCAGTTCCGGTTACTCGAGCCACTCGCCGCCGTTGTCGGCCGGCTCGTGTTCTCCTTACGCCACGGCGTTGACGTCAAAAGATCCGTTGTACGGTGGTCTGGCAGTGATTCACGAAAGCGAAACGATACCGTGGTCGGTTTGGTCTCCGATCGTGTATCATCATGAAAATCGCAATTACGAAGGTCAGAAAAACGCGCGCGCGACGCGCTTTGCTTTCTTCTCGATTTTACTTCTGCTTCTAGATTTTTCTTTTTTTTTTAATATCGAAGTCTCGCTCGTCAATGTGTTGTTCTTTTTTTGCCACGCAGGAATCTACGTGTGTCGCGCGTGCGGTTGCGCGTGCAATTATTCGCTGCTGTCGCCGACCCCGTTGTTCGGATTGCCTCCGAGTTCTGTGATAGACAACGATAATATCATTATGCCGCCGGACGATATTTCGCGCGTCCACCCGAGAAACGCTTCGAGGGACAACAACAACGTGTACGAGTATATTTGTCCGTTCTGGTCGTTCAACGGAAATCCGTCGACGGGGAGCGCGCCGACGAGATCGAATCCGATCAGTTCCGAATTCTACGTGAATTCTCCTCACCGCTTTTGCGAGCGATCGGACACGATGCGATCCGGCGCGCTGCTCAAAAAAAGTAAGACAACGAAATGCAAAGAGGACGGCTTGACGGAGAGAAGCGATCTCGAGACGCGCGGTCCTTACATCCGCAAATATCATCACGGGAAACCGATCGAGAAAGGTTGTGCGAAATTGTCGTTCGGACTGGAAGGCGTGCGACCCGAGGGTTGTCAAAGAGCACTCGCCTCGAACGAGTCAAAGTACTCGACGGTGAGTAGTCGCGTCAACTCTCGCTACTTTCTAAAAGTATAATGAAAGAGAGACCGAAACTTTCCAAAGTTCAAGTTTAATTGACGTATTTTTTTAAGCGTCGCTCTGTGTGCAAACTGAGAAAAAAAAATCAAATCACACACCTGTTTCAGCAGCTGGAGTGCGGCAGCGACGTCGGTTCGTCTTGCGAAGATACGGTCGTTTCCGCGAACGATTTGAATCGCCGTTTGGCCGCCGCAAGCAGCGAGGATCTCGATTTCACTCTCGACGTGGCGCGCGCCGAGCGTCTAGGCCGTGCGATCGCGAGAGCAAAACGGAAGCGACAATGGTGCCGCGCACTGACAATTCTCCTCGGCCTGGCCTTCTTCATGCTGAGCGTGATAGTCGTCTCGTTATCCGTGACGAGAGGTCGCAAAATGTTCGGGAGCATGTAATAAAAAACAAGAAAAAAAATCTCACAGCGGAGGAAAATATTTGTTTGTTTGTTTGTTTGTTTTTTTTTGTTATTAACGTGAGCACGAATGATCTTGTAGAAATTTTTACTACTGGTGTGTGTGTCCCAGTGCACTATTCTCAACACGGTGATTTCAATATTCTAGAATAAGTATATTATTTTGACCCCGTACCAGAGTAATGTGAAATTTCTGCAAGGATGTTCTGCGACAACCGTGTAGTCTCTTCAACGCGGGTATTTTTGTGGATGCCAAGTGTCCCGTATATATATAATAATTAAGTAACAAAATTATTGTAAACAAGAGAAAAGATATTCTCTGCGATTCTTAATATATATATATATATATATGGCTGTGACCATACCCTTTATCCATATTTCGCTGAACATAATACCACGTAAATGCACGTGTGGGCGCATCACGCTCATCTAGCGAATGTAGATAATTTTAAATGTTTTTTTTAAGCTTACACAGAAGAAAGTATATAAATATACGTCACTGTAAAACGGGTAAATTGTTATCAATATAAATGTAATGTTTTATCTCTTTTACCTTAATAATTTGCGCATGCGTACGCTAGTCTGATTTCATTCGCGTTTGTCGCGGGGCGTTGGCGTCGAGTCGAGAGACGAGAAACAGCGGGCTGCTGAAGATAAGAGGTTTGTTCGCGTCGCATGCCCCAACATGCTCCTACTTGCTCCAACGCGCTTTACCAGCGAATTTATTAGCTTGTACTAGTGCACACTGAGTGCGGCTTTTTTCAGTGAAAAATTTTATTGAAAAAGTTTTGAAGTTTCATTAACGTTTCATTGAAAAAAATCGCATTGGAGCGAGTAGGAGCATGTTGGGGCATGCGACGCGAACAAACCTAAGATAACGAAATTTGTGACAGGTGACAGATCTCAAATCGCGACCATCAACAAATATCGCAGATAAGATACGTCAGAACGATTATTTATACTTGACATTTAGAGATCGACAGTTTTTCATACCCTGTCGAAAACGTCGAAGCATTGACAATAGCATACGAAGTTCCGGCTATTTACGAATTTGTTCAGGTTAACTTTTTATACAGCACTTTACATCAACTTTCCAAGGTGAGAGAAGTAATGTAAATGTTGTTTAATAAAAACGTGTATATGAACAAAACTTGATAGATGAAAATTTAAAATCGTTACTGTAATTCATGTGAAAAAATTATATTTTCTGTTTTTTTTTTTTGTCAAACAGTGTGTTTATATTTCTCTAAATTGTAAACAATGTGTTTATAAATGTTTCTTTAGATTGTAAAATAAATTTCACAACAGAATGGTCTGTGTGCCATGTGTTGCTGTTCCTATATTCTTAATAATATGGAGATTTCTTATACAACCATTACTGATTAAGTGGTGGCAGTTGGGGAGGGATAAAGAAAAGGAGACCAAAGGAGATCAGTCATGTCCGGAGCTAGTAAAGGAATGCAAAAACGGCATATGTACCTTAGCATGGAAGAATAATCAAGATGCCGTGAAGAAAAGCGATTGAAAACTGATTTTATCAGTGTGTATATGTGTTTCGATTTAAAAATACAATATTATTCCAACATTTTATTTTTTAGAAGTTTTATGAGACTTTTACGAATTATATATACATACATATATATATATATATATGTATACATATGTAATATACCAAAGGTCAGTTTAAAGGCAGATGGATTGCAAAATGACAGCAGCTCTTCTACGAGTATTTACGTATTTTAAACAGAGTTTGTACAGTACATATAGAGAAAGTGTTATTGTTCCGTTGAACTGTACAGATACAGATTGAAGATAATTCAGAGAAAATGTTATTGTTCCAATTAATCAACTGTAAAGTTCTTTGTATCACTGTAGACGGCAATTAATAGTAGGATATGTGTATATCAATAATATCAGTCATATAGTGCTCATAGAAAAAAATATATTATTATCATTCCAAAATTGATCAAAACCAACATTCTTTAATACTGAACAAAAAATAGATTACAAATCTAGCGCATTTTGTTACCATATAACATGTTAACATATAAATTTAAAACTAATGATCCAATTACAATATTTAAGTGCGCATATATGTACCCGCCACGCTTTTGCAAAACGATGTAATAAAACCAAATTATTATAAATAACAAAGAAATTTATATGTGTATCTACAAAAATACGATCCATCGTTTCGTAATACTACATTTCTTATAGGAAATATATAACGATCTTTTCTCTCAACTCATCATTGGTTTTTGCACTTTGACTACTATAGTCAATTGAAATCCTTCATGTTCCTCACATTTTTTTAACCAAATTTTTGCACTTGTTTTTAAAAACCAGGAATTTTACTCCATTTTTTTAAATACAGCGAGAGATCTGGTTACATTCGATGCGTAATACGTTTGATGAGTTCATCCAAAAGAACCTTATTTTGCTTTATAAAATCTTCATCATCGCTAGATTTACTAGAGTCTTCAGACCTTTGACTGCTTCGTACTGCATCTGAAATATTCAAAGGTGATATCTTCAACATTCATCAGATATTGTTTATTAATTTTTGTTTATTAGATATATTCAACATATATATATACCTCTTATAAACTGGTAGGGACGACGTTTGTAACGTTGTAATCGGTCAAGATAATAGATGTTGTCTTTCTGCCTGTATTCTGTAATGTTGTTTTTTTAAGTGATTCTGAAATTTTTCTTTTTCTACGTGATTTTCGTTAATCATCTTACCTGGTCTAAAATTTCCTGTCAAATGTACAGAGCTCTTGCCAATTATGAAAAACTTTACGACACATCCTTTTCTAATGTTTATGTTCAGTGGTGCTTGATGAATCAGGTTTTTTTGTAACGTACAAAGCAGATAATTGATATCGTTGAACTGCATCATTACTTTCACAGGTTGATAATCTGCAATATAAGAGAAATAAGATTTTCTCTCAATAACAAAAAGAATATTTTAAATTTATTTCTTTCTCTCTTTCTCTAATATCGTATCTCAATATTATATTTTTTATTATGACAAATATATGTCTGTCTGTATAACGTAAGTAATTAAAATAAAAGAGTTTTTTCGAACGTCTAGAAAAAACCTACCATCTTGCGTAATGTCTAAAGCTGCGCCGGTTATTTCGAACGGTACGAACACATGTTGCGAATATTGCGATTTCGATTCTAGTATCAGTCCTGTACGTAACACACACAATTAATACACAATCAACAGTTTAAAGTAATAATTTAACGTTTTCGCGATTTAAAACATGACGAACGTTTTCACGACTTCTTATTTCAAAATGTTTTTTTTTCTTTTTTGATAAATGTTTCGTTTATCGAGCGCGCAAAATCAGCCTATCGAAGACAAATTATTTACATATAAATGTGTAAAAATTCGTTGGAAGCCAATATAGTTTTGAAAAACTTTTCTTACCCCAAACCATATCGCGATTATTTTCTTCTTTACAACAAACGCTGACGAACTCAGAAACAGAATGAATATCAAAGGATGATTGCCGATCGCTTTAATCTAAGATAAGAAATCCTGTCTTATCCTGACAAACACAGCCCGATTAATTCAAATAATTGACACGTAGAACGTGGAACATCAAGAAGTCGCGGCGGATGTCGTTTTCTTCACTATGTGAATCTACGCTGGAAATCTGTGATAGGCTCGTGTCCAACACTCGCCTGTCCAATCGTCAATTCAAAAGCTTCTCCCCCGTGAGCAGCCCGAATCCACGTGTGTTTGTCTCATAGAAACATGTACCGCGTTCTGTGTGTACATTTCAAATCGCGCAAAGGACACGGATGTCAACAAGAACAAGAATTTTAAACGGCCGCTAACACCTGCTTAAAGGTTCAGTGAATATTGGAAAATAAGTAAAAGATGGAAAAGCAAGTCGGTGTCTGGGGTAAGAAATTTTTGCAACGTGTTATCTCTTACAACAAGAACTTGTAATAATATATAAACATATAAGATATACTTAAATAAAAAGACAGTAGTATCACGAGCTTGTCGGAAAAAAAACATTTCAAATCGAAAATTGTTTCGTTCACAAAAATATGTTTATGTTGCGTTGCGAGTCATGCATATGTATTTTTTAAAAATGTATATTTATATTAAAATTTTATATATTGCAGGACTAGTACTAGAACCGCTAAAGCGATACAAACCGCGCGATACGTCCCACACTATCTGCATAACCAACGCGGCTTTGGACACTACGATGGCTGGTACATATATATATACTATATAAACGAAATTTTGTCATTTTCGAGAATACTTTCAAGAATTCGATCCTCCGTGTTTCTTTTATATGAGTTATTCGCGTGTGTTATGGTATATTGCACATGACAATTAACGTATATATAAATACACGCATATGTTAATTGTGTGTTTAAATATTGTATGTGGAACGTCCCACACACAGAACAAAAACTCCATTAGCGACATCAAAAGCTCCATGCGTTATCTAATAGATGTCTAATGGAGTTTTTGTTCTGTGTGGGGTTTAAAATCTTAGGAGCGAAATTCTTTGAAATTACAACACAAACAAAAACAAATTTACGCGCGCGTTATGATGTGTATGATAATAATAAAAAAAAAAAAGATATTTCTTCTCTCTCATTAAAAAAATCTTTTCTTCGTATTGCAGACAATGGATCTGTGCAAGTTATTCTACGGTACAATGGGAACAATTTGCTGCTTTGCACTTTGAACAGGAACTTCGTATGGCAAGTACCACTGAACGTACGGATTCCAAGAGGGAATAAGAAGATAAAATTGTTTTGCAGTGGCAAATCTTATGTACATTTGATTGGAAATTTTATTCTACCGTCTGACGAAATGATGCATGCAAAACTGCTCTACATGTATAATAACGATGCATATTATCATAATAGTAATAATAATGATTATTTCTCTCTCTCTCTCTCTCTCTCTCTCTCTCTCTCTCTCTCTCTCTCTGATGTTAAAAGTTCTACTAATAACAATGACTGTTAAAACAGATAAGGAAAGTAATGGTCAGAATCGCGACATCTATAATAAAGATACGGACGATGAGGATGGTAAGAATGAGAATAGTGACGAAGACACTATTGAGAATGAAGAAAATGAAAGCCAGAACGAGAACGAGGACAAAGATGAAGACGAGGACGAGGACGAGGACGAGAATGAGGACAAGGATGAGGATAAGGACGAGGATGAGAACGAGAACGAGGATGAGAACGAGAACGAGGATGAGGACAAGGTCGAGTATAGAGTTGTAGATGACCATGTTGAGGGTGTAGATGATAAAAAGAATACTAAGTGGCGAGGCAAGATCATATTAAAAAAGAGCAATTGGCAATGCAAACCCGTATCAAAAAAAAGAAAAACGGAAACACTTTCGAAAACATTGCATGACATGTGCATTAAGATGGGAAATTTAGATGAGTGTTTATTAGCAACACCTTCAAGCAGTAGTGATGTAATGTAAGACAATAAAAAAATCACTTTCTTTAACAGGGCGGTATTAATAATCTACATATATTACATAATATTATATATATATATTTAAGATCATCTTATTTTATGTATGTGTGTCTTATGTTCCGTATATGGTATATGTATACACGCGTATATATAAGTAAGACGATTTTACATCTCAAAATCTCAGTTGCAAATAACGGACGCAGAAATTATGTTATTTAGAGTTAAAAAATAGAATAAAACTGAATCACCAAGTAAATAAATAAAAAACGAAAATCAGTAAATGAAATAAAAGAATGACTGAATACTAATATAAAAATAAAACTAAATTTAAATTATAAAATTGTTACATATTTGTAAATAAATAAATAAATAAATATAAACCTTTCTTTTTATATAATTGTTTATATAATTTTGTTTTACTTTATCATCTTGTTTGTGCGTGTATGTGAAGCGCTCACTTTATGTATTTCAATTCTTCTCTTTTAAAGGCATTAAACATTTTTATTTTTAAACTTTATATCTAAGTAAAAAAAAACATGATAATTTATGGTATCGCGTAGACGTCCATAATAGGGATTTTCTGTTAAATAAAAATACGATGTAAATAAAAAAAAAAACTTAAATAAACTTAAATAAAAAAAAAAAAAAACGAAATTATCGTATCTTTAGCTTAAATAGAAGCTACATGATATACACACACTGTCCCTGCTTTTCTTAATATTTTTTTGTAGTTTGGTTTGTCTGTGTACGGGGCACTTTGCTCACATGAAACGTTCCTGCTAAATTATTCGAATGACTGACCAATGCGATACGCCGACTCCTCACGCTGGTCGCCGGCTGACAACAAAAACTCGACTCGAGTTCGATTTCCGAATCGAACATTCAAACAGCGTTTTTAATTCATTATTTGTGGTAGGTTGTAAAGAAAAATGAGCAATTCCGTTTTTATACTCGACAACGGGGCCAACACGGCAAAGGTCGGTTTAGCCAATGAAACACCCAAGTAGGTATACGTCAAAACACAGTGCACGTGTGTGACACGGTCAATGATGTGTTTATTGTTTATATAACAATTGTTGAAAATCTTTCAGATTAGTTCCGAACTGTATAATGAAAGCGAAGAGCGAACGTCGCAGACCTTTCGTAGGGAATCAAATCGAGGAGTGCAGGGACGCTTCCGGATTGTTTTATCTTTTACCGTTTCAGAAAGGTTATCTGGTGAATTGGGACGTTCAGAAAACAGTGTGGGATTACATATTTTCGAAAGAGTCTTGCTCGGTTAATTTGAGCCAGTCATCCGTGATCGTGACTGAACCTCTGTTCAACTTTCCGAGTATTCAGGAAGCGATGACGGAGATCTTCTTCGAGGAATATGAATGTCACAGTCTGCTGGCGATGAACGCGACAAGTCTGTCGTGTTACAATTACAGAGCGGAACATCCTACCGCGAAATGTTGCATAGTGGTGGACAGTGGTTACAGTTTTACTCACATTGTACCTTATGTTAACGACGTGAAAGTTAAAGAAGGTATACGAAGGATAGATGTGGGTGGTAAGCTTCTTACGAATCATCTAAAGGAGATAATATCTTACCGCCAGTTGCACGTCATGGACGAGACTTACGTTATAAATCAAGTCAAGGAGGACAGCTGTTTCGTGTCTCAAGACTTCTTCAAAGACATGGAACGAGCCAAGTGCAAGTTGGACAATAACACCATTGTCAAGGATTACGTTTTGCCAGATTACACGACGTTGCGACGCGGCTATCTGAAAGATCCGGAACCGTCCAACGAGCAGCAAACGTTGCGCCTGTGCAACGAGAGATTTGCAATACCGGAAATATTGTTTCACCCGTCGGATGTCGGCATCCGACAAATGGGCATACCCGAGACTATCTTAGATTCCATAAAGTCGTGCAGCGAGGAAATGTGGCCGCATTTTCTGTCCAATATTATTCTCACCGGTGGCAATGCGAAGTTTCCGGGTTTCAAAGACAGAATTTACAAAGAAGTTAGAAGTTTGGCTCCGACGGAATACGCCATAAATGTTCACTTACCACAAAAGTATGTTATGTCTGTCGCACACGTTACAGTTTTTTTACGCTAATACACCAGTTGATAAATTTTTGCTTGCTTTCAGTCCCATTACCTATGCATGGCACGGTGGAAAACAACTTTCACAAGACGCGACGTTCTCCAATTTGTTGATAAAAAGAGAAGAATACGAAGAAGAAGGACCATCCATATGCTTTGAAAAGTTTGACGTATAATTCTTCAATTTTTTTAACAGTGCTTTCAGTATATATTATTTTAAAAAAAACTTATGCTACACATTGTTGTGTAAAAATGCGTATTAAATATGTCTCTCAAATACAAAATCTTTTTATCTAATTATAACAATCGTAATGTTAACGTAACGTGTGAAAACAATTTCAAAAACGTACTTTCTCTCGCAAAGCTGGCTTGGTTTTATACAGTGAAGTATACAAATTTTTATACATCGATCGAGAGAGAAAGAGAAAAAGAATACAACAGAAGTTTGATCTTTCAATATGTACGAGGGAATGTATCATATATTTGTATATTAAATTTATATTTTCAAATAGATTTCATTTCTGCCATTAATTCTTCCAAACTTGGTCCTTCAGATTCGGGAACAATTTGTTCCGTCTCTGAGCTGGTTGCGTTTGCGGACTTACTGGGTACGGTGTATGCGTGTCGTACGCCGATATTCGACAAACACGGTTTTTCATCCGACTGTCCGGTTTGTTCGTCGATCAAGGAAATTCCTGCGAAGAAAAATTTTTATATTTTCAAAGAAATGCGAGAATTAAACGACAAAGCAGAAATTTTGTGAATTATCCGATACACACCCCATTCATTATCCTCGTGCACTATGGTTTTCTCCTCTTCGGTGGCCTCAGATTTTTCCTGAATCTTCGGCCTCGCCGAATATTCCTCTTGTCTTTGCCTACAATACGCGTCGTCGCAATTCGGATTCGGTCTCAAGGTCATTTTAGGGAAGAAATCTTCCATGGCGTTGTAACCCAGGTAATGAGACACTTGTCCGAAGTTCAGCAAGAACTTCAAAGCGTTCTGCACCAAGAAACCCGCTACTATGCTCATAGTAGTGGGTAACGACGCGGCGCAAACCCCCTCGCGTTTCAACGTTTTCTCGTCAACACTGGACGCTACAATCAGAGGTGGCGCGCACTAAAAAAAAAAAAAACTCAATTGTAATCACAAAGCAAATATTTATGCAAGCATTAATCGACCGAAGAACGCAATTGGGACTTACCGCGAAACAAGCCGTTTCACCGGGCACGATAAACTGAATGTGACCGGACACCGCATTCTCGGATACGCCGCTTTCGAACCACTTCTGATTGAGTTCGTTGCACGCGGTATTGATCGCCATGCGAGCTTCAAAGTTGTCGACGCAGCTCAACACCAAATCCACCGGACCATTATTCAAACTGGATGTGCTGCAAAGATGTTTGAGAATTTATAATGTTTTAATTGTATAAATAAATAAAATACACGTTATAATATTAAATAACCGCTTCGAGAAATCTCTTACCTTATTGTGTCCATAAAATCTTGAAAATGATCGACGGTTGTGATGTTGTAATTTCGTATTTCGATTTCCACATCCGGATTTATGTAGCGCAGAGTGCTCGCTGCCGCCTCCACTTTGCTCTGACCTGCTTGATGCGGTTGAAAAAACAATCTGTTCATATTCGCTAGTTCTACGCTGTCGTAATCGAACAGTATCAACTGAAACACATGCGGTGCTCGTTGGATGTGCAAGGGACATTTAATATTACACTATAATGTTGTGTACCGTTTCTCTCACCTTTCCGATACCACATCTGGTCAACATTTCCGCCGTCACGCTGCCAACACCGCCAACTCCAACTATAGCTATCGATAATTGTCGTATATCTTCATAGTTTTTAACTATACCCATGCGTTTCAACGCCATTAATCGGCTGAAAGAAGAAAAAAATATTTAGAAATAAAAACATTTAAATTAAATAACAAGACACACATTTTGACACAAAACAAAACAAAAAAAAATACTTCAAAATTTATTTGCAAACAATTGTAATAAATTTTTATTATGTTCAGAACAATAGAAAAAACCAGCGAGAAAAGTTTCAAGCAAAACCTTACCTGTACGGATTCGAATCCACGACCTCCGCTGACATATGTTCGATCCTTTCTCTCGTTGCCGTCGCATCTTCTTTAGATTTATTTTCCCGTAGCTGCTTTTCGAGCTCCGCCACTCTTCGTCGCAAACTTTCCACTTCATCCATTTCTTCCGCGTGGTAAAGTAAAAAACTTATTTATTAACAACGATGTGTGTGATCTCCGCGAAACACACACCTGTCTGTCACAGTTGTCACACACAGCTGTCAGCGTTTTCGACCGGTTGAATCTAGCAATACGATTGGCCGATTTGCCAAACTGAACCGTTTCATTGAACGCTTCAACGGGAACGATTCAACTCGTACCTGTGGGTGCGTTCAGACAACTCAACGGTTGAGAGATCATCACTTATGATAGGACCAGAGAGAAACCTGAGAGCGGCCATCCTATAGTAATTTTTTACGACGGTTTCAGCCGCTGGTTTTAGCCGTATTTCCACAAAAGTGGAACTCAAAGGCCGTTCTACATTAAACGCAAGTCGCAGGTCTCGTGGAACTGATCAATCACGTTGGTCGATTGGCTGATTTGACTCTGCAATTGGTCAATTCCACGAGATCTGCGACTTGCGTTTAATGTAGAACGGCCTTTGAGTTCCACTTTTGTGGAAATACGGCTAAAACCAGCGGCTGAAACCGTCGTAAAAAATTACATTAGGATGGCCGCTCTCAGGTTTCTCTCTGATAGGACTATTCTTCAAAATCTGACGTGGTTCCAAAAGTATGATCTAATCAGAAGTGATTATCTCTCAACCGTTGTGTAACTGTTGAGTTGTCTGAACGCACCCAATCATCATAGCACAACACGGTTGTGGACGCTTATAAAGGCACGTGATTACACACGTTTACAAGAATGCCAGTTAAGCCTATGTCACACCACGAATTGGGATTGAGAGATTGAATTGAAATTTGAACCAATCAGAAGAAAGAAAACCAATCCCAAGTTTAGTGATCTTCGGCTCTGATTGGCCAAATTGCAGTCTAATCTCAATCCGTGGTGTGACATAAGACTTTAGCGATTGGGTGATTCCCTTTTCAATTCTATTGAGTTTGCTAGTTGGCGCTACCGGCGACTGATAGAAATGCCAACTTCTTTTCTCTCTCGGCGCACGTGTCTGTTTTTCGACATTTTTGGAATCGGTCCGGTAGTTTTGACAGCGTCGGGGTTGCGTGTTTCTTATTCTAAAAAGATTTTTATCTTGACTTTCTTGAGTGTCTTTATTAAAGTTTCTCCAAGATGCAAGTTCCGCCGATTTTTATAGAATTGCCGTTGGACGACCAGGTAAAAACATTTGCAAACTCAAGACTCCGCGTAACATTTCGTTTCTTTCGCAAGATTGCAAGTGTCACTGTGATGATCTGAAAGAGAAAGTGGCGCGTGGAATACAGAGTAATTGCGCTACTGAGTTGAATATTTAATAAAATGTGTTGTTTTTTTGATATCACACCAACATCTAAGCTAAGCTCTTTGTATACTTTGAACGCACGGTCTACTGTAGGTTAGGTTAGGTTAAGTTATCGGTGATACATGTGGCAAGAAACATTAAAATGCAGAGAAACACGTTAATTAATGTGTTTTTTTAGATATATATTTTCTCGTACACATGTTATTACAGAAGTAAATTATAGAAGAAAGTGAATAAATGACGGATATATAGCTTTAAAATGTACCCGAGATTCATTTTTAGGTTAAGTTCTAATCGTTTGACTCGCGCGAGCAAAAGTCACGATTGGCTGCGTGTAAACTTATCGCGCGATACTGTCATGCCTCTTTATCGGAATCTTTTGCACGAACATTGAAATGCTTTAAGTTAATATATATATATATATATATGTATTTGTTCTAATTGTTATTATCGTTAACAGGCGCAAGAGCTCAGGGTATATTTTAAAAGTCTCGGTGCAGAAATCAGCGAAGAAAAATCTCCCAAAGGTATAGAAGATGATTTGCACAAGATTATCGGAGTGTGTGAGGCTTGTTTCAAGGAAGGAAACGAAAGCGAAATAGAAACTGTATTAAATGACATTGTTTCTATTATGATTATGGTAAATTCAACATTGTTTTTTTTACATTCTGCTATGTACAATAAACAATTAGGACAGTTTTTGTATTTTGCTGACTACTTTAGATACCCACTGAACGTGCAGAAAATTTGATTCTGGCATTTTGTGAGAAGCTTGTGAAAGCACCTGGATATAAGCTTGGACTGGTGTGTCTGAAGGCGTAAGAGAAATTACTTTCTGTCTCTGATGTTATTTTATGTTAAATTTTTCTTAATACAAGTGATTTTTTTTTTACACGGTATAAATGATATTTCACAGTTTATGGCTGTTATTTCAATCCTTGGCTGACGACTCCCCAATGAGATATCATGTTTATTATCACTTGGTGCAAATAGCTCGTAATGTCGATCAAGTGAAAGCTGTATACAGCGGAATAGATCAGTTGAAGCAACAGTTTGCTTCATTTCCTCCGTCGAACGAACAAATGCAGAAATTACTGCGTTTGCTGCACGAAGTGCTCTTAAGCTGCAAACAAGGGTGATTACATATCTTCAACTCTCTTTACAGCTTATGTTTAAATAATAAAATTTGTACGTACTTCAAGTATAAACAAGAAAAAATATCCGAAGAAACATGTTTATCAAATGTTCTGTGTGATATATATATTATATAAATCTGTATATAAAAGTGATTTTTTTTTTTTTTTTTTAATATTATGTTTAGAGAACAAGCGGCAGCTGTTATGGTGGAACTATTAGGAACCTATACAGCGGAGAATGCTTCTGCAGCAAGGGAAGATGCGCAACGTTGCATATTGGCCGCGTTAGGCGATCCGAATACATTTTTGTTGGATCCGCTTTTAGCTTTGAAACCTGTCAGATTTTTAGAGGGCGAGCTGATTCACGACTTATTGCTGGTGTTTGTACAAGATAAGCTACCGGCGTATTTGCACTTCTATCAGCATCACAGAGAATTCGTTGAGCATCAACTTGGTATATGGTGTACACAATCCAATATAAAAATAACGTTCATTCAGTGGATATTTAAAACAAATTTATCTTTATCTCTATTTTTTTCACCGTTAGGATTGAACCACGAGCAAAATATGAAGAAGATGAGACTCTTAACTTTTATGCAACTCGCGGAAACGAATCCCGAAATGTCTTTCGAAACAATACAAGAAGAGTTACAGATTTCGGAATCTGAAGTCGAAAGCTTTATCATTGATGGTACGTTGGTTTTTTGTTATTGTTTTTTTTTATTTCTATTTAACTTTCTTATCTGTGCAATTAAGAAATGCAATTACTCCCTCTGTAAATGCAAAACAATTTCCATTGTTTACGTGGCGATTGACTTTACGCAGGGTATATGAAATGAATCAGTACTGGCTTAGTAGAAACGTTTTTTTTTTTACTGAGTTATCGTAACATTCGACAATGTTTTTGTTTTTACTAATATAGAGAAAGCGTGAAATAGCGTAATCGTATATATGTTACGAAATTATGAGTGTTGTTATTTGTGTTTGTTTTAGTCTTGAAAACCAAGCTCGTGAGAGCGCGCATGGATCAAGCAGGCCGAAAGGTACTGATTTCCAGTACGATGCACAGAACGTTCGGTCGTCCTCAGTGGATGCAGTTGCGAGATCTACTTGCATCGTGGAAAGCCAATCTATCGGCTGTACAAGATGGCATGAAAACTGTAGCCGCAGCGCAAATGGAACTCGCAGCAAAGAATAAAGCTGCATTGTGTATGTAATGTGTATATATTATTCATATATAAGAGTTGACTCTTAGCTTATTCTCAAAAATATTTAAATTTATATACAATAAATATTAAGGAAAAAAAAACATTTTGATATCAGCCAATTTTTCTATGTGATTTTTAATTACTTAAAATTAGATATCTTCCAATTCAGTACTCGGTCATTTTCTTCAGTATGTATATACATATATATATATAACAAATGTGTGCTATGTATGCTATCAATTTATAAATCTTTTTCGATCATGTTGATTGAATCAAACTGTATTAAATGCTAGATTTTGCTTTGGCAGAAATACGAGGCAATTTGAACGCGCGATTACTCGTCTCCTGTTGCGGAACTTTCTGAACGACATCAATAAAACTATTTCGAACATTTTTTTCAGTATCTTTATTTGTACAAACGAAATTTATAATGTACATAAATTTCATAATTGCTGCGTTTGTCACACGAATCTCTTGTAACCTGTAACAATTTTTTGTTTACAAAAAAAACTTCAACAGAAATGGCTTATATACAGAGATACACGGATTACAAGAACACAAAAAGATTTTGTATTGAGCATATTGTCATTATATACAGGTTTTCGTTTCAACCGATTATAAATGGTGTCACCAGTGTAAAAGTACACATAATTCTATATTAGAAAACAAAATATAGATAAAAAAAATAATGTATAAAAAAACAATATTTTGTGGTAAAACGATAAAAAGTTTTGAAGAGTGAGAAGGAAAAACTCCTGCCGTCTTAAAAAAAAAAAAAAATCGACGACGCATACATAACGCAGCCGCTAGTTCAATGCTGTAACGTAAAGAGTTATTTTCGAGTGTAAAGACCTTGCGTACATACATAGTGTCATATCACGATTTATTTTATTGGACTGACAAATAGTTTCATATTATATGATAAGTAAATTTCTCTGATAGTATATAAATCACCAAAAGGTAGAAATAAAAATATAATAATATTATATTGCACACTCTGCAAATTAGATGTTTGTAAAAAGTAGAAATATTTTTTTTGTTTATTTTTGTAATTCTACACAATTATATTGTCTTGCAAGTGTTTCTCATAAAAAAAAGAGTAAATTAACAAATTAACAATAACGTATTTCTCTTTTCTCAAATGAGCAGAGACAAAGTCTCGCACGATGATGATGCCATCTCTCACCTTGAAGAATACGTTTTATTAAAAACGAAAAAAATAGCGTTAAAATAATAATAATTTGTTTTACATCTTAATTTCTATATATTTATATATATATATATATATATATATATATATATGTATGTGTGTAAGAAAGTATAATTTATACTTCTTTTTTAATTATAATCACTGGTGTGTAATATCGCATATTACACTCATTCGCCCGTTTTTGTATGTTGTAGTTTTATAAAGCATTTCTCTTTATGCATAATTGACACAATTGCTGCTTTATCAGTAACTTATAGACACGATAGACGCGCGCTATTAATGTTCTGCACATATCTCTCACACATGTAACTTAATTCCGAATCTTTCGAAAATTACACATTTTACAGCAGCACAATGAGAGAAAAAACACGTTTAACTTTCACGTGAGGAAACAACAATTTTAAGTTGATTAACTTTCAACCAAGTCCATTAAAGCCTCATCATACAAATTTAATATCCAACGTTCGACTCGAATACATTTCCATTTTTCAACACACAACAGGAGAAAATATAATAATGCTAAATATAACAATTCATATGGATGTCGGCAATATAAAATAGGAGCGCGATTAAAAGTAGAATCCAAGTTGGGCCGCAAACGCTTCGGATTATTGTTCCATACTCGTTCGTATGTCGTGAGTAATCAAGATAGAATAACACTTCGAAGTAATTGTAGCGCGCGACTTGGATTCTATTTGTTAATATATCAATAACAGTTCTCTCTACATTCGTACGCGTCAAGTAACATCAAATCATCTCAAGTTATACACGACTTGCGATAAAACATTCAGTCTGCTATATAGTGCATGACACATTGATGAGTGAGCATATATGTATCAGAATAAAATTTATAAAATTCCAGATTGTTGCGCCGAATTTTCTTTATGCAGCAATATTTAGGCAATTATGTAAATTTATTGCAAACATCTTTGTTTTCAACCGTTTTACTGATATCTGCACGAGTAGTTTCCAACTTTAGACGGTGTATAAAGTTCTTTGTTTTTTTCTTTTTCTTTTTCTTTTTTTTTTTTTTTTAACGTATATATTTGTATCATTTCCAATAAATCTAGATAGCCAAAACTTTTTTTTGGGGGGTCAAGGCATACTCTTGAGTTTCTAGAAAATATGCACGCACCGTTCTGCGCTTCTACAGAATCGACCACGGCTATCCTATATCTGTACAGGTAAAGTTTTATATGAAAGACAAAAAATGACGGATGATAGACACTATGATATATTGTATCAAAAGCACACACACACACTAAGAAGTGTCGCGTGTATTTCTCTCGTCATATTCGGTAAGTCAGATCTGAGTAGAAAATCTAGGACGTGGTAAGTCTCCAAACACCGCATCACCATGGACGCTTCTGGTTAAGGCTTTAATTGAAGCTTGAATGTTGTGCGGATCTAACGGGTCACTTGGCAACTGTAATCAAGTTCTTTTTTTTTTGAAATCTTGAGCGAGAGCTTCCAGTTGAAAATAATAAAATAAAATAGATTGCAGTAAACAAAAACTATGTGAAAACTTTATTTATGTGATATGATATATGTATGTATGTATATATATATATATAACAGAAACTTGTGTATGAAAAAGTTTTACCTGGTCGTCGTCTTGATCCTCTATTCTTCGACGAACAATTGCCGGGAAAGCAGGTACGGTAACAGGTAGCGATTTGGCTAAAGTAGAATGACCATCCCGTTGACTTCTTGGCATGTGAATTCCTTCATTTTGACCTGAATCTATCAAGTATGTGATTTAGTATATTGATTTTTTTGAATTTAAAACCAAGGTGTCAGTTGAAAAAAAATATGATCTATGTTATACCATCAGTATCAGATCCATCTTCTGAGGACAACAGGAGTGTTTGTTGGACCGAATCCGTATCCTCCACTCCCTCAAAAGGAAACAATGTTTCTGTATCGAAACTAGCTGATTCCTTAGAAATACATAATGAATTTTTCTTTTTTGTACTTTCATCCTGAAAGATTTAGATACAATTAGATATAATTAGTCTACACGTGTCAACTACTGATTAAAAAGAGAATTTAAGACGAAAAGACAACTTACATTAGTAAAACCTTTAGAAGAAGCTCTAGTGACTGTCTCGTGTTTAACGTTCAAGCCAGTAGAAACTTTCACATCATTGGATTCTACAGTTGACTTTGAATCTATTATATTAGCTGCAGAGGTAGTCAAGGTGTTCTTAAAGCTGTCAGGAGTCGTTGGTGGAGTTTCTATATTATTAGTTACCCTATTTGTCTCTTCTCCTCTACATACTAGCCTAGTTAATTTTACAAACAGTAAAGTTATTATATTACATATTAACAGCAGTATACTTTATCTGACAATGATTATCATACTTTGATAACAGCCTATGTTCGTTGTGTGCTCTCTCACGAAATTGTTCTAACAGCTGATATTGCTCTGCAGTAAATGAACGTATTTTGTCTTCGATCGCCGCTGTTTGGCGTTGTATAGCTTCCTCTAATTGTCGTTGTAAACCGCCTAGAGCCACTTGAACGGTGTTAGGTAATTGCGAAACTGAACAGAGATAAAAAAAAACAATGTAACACATACATATGTGTATAATATTTTAGATTCTTTTCTAACAGAACATTTTATACACAATTATTACACATTTAAAAAAATTTCATATTTATTTGCATGTTTATTTACCAGAAAATTTGTTAGGCTGTTGCAGATAGTCATCAAGATCTTCCAAACTGTAATTAATTACTATCCTAAACACAGGGCTGTAATCCGGATTAGATTTTAATTTGTTGATTTCATCAGGAGATGACTGAAACAACACAATGACTTATTTGATAACTTGCTAAAACTTCCAAGTGGAAAGATATTCCACGAAAATAAAAGTTAATAACTTAATGATAATGATTCTTTCGGAACATATCTGTTATTTTTCCGCGTCTGTTTATAAATAAAATAAATAACAAATATAAAATTAATTGCATACACAAAAGATAATTAATTTTTTACAAATGACTAATCAACTTATAGAATTGCGAAAATCTTGTTATGTGCAAAAGATAATATCTAAAACTATTCACTCCATATCCAGTGTATCAAGAGTTTTAAATATTTCTTTAAAAGTGCACAGATACATATAATATCGTATATTAAATTAAAAAATCGTCAATCAACAATAGAACAGAAATAGATAAACTGATATTTCAAGAGAGATAAATTATCTGTGTGCAAGTATAAAGAGATTACATTGATCAATATTATCAGTTTTGAAGTATCATATATATACAAAAAAAAAAAAAACTAAATTATATTATACTGCATTAAACTCACAATAATATTGCTATTGATAAGAACTAAAGCAGCACCAAACTCTTTGTGAACAGCATGAGTGTACATTGAGCAATTGTAACAACGATGTATTATCCATGATCCCACATTTCTTATTTCCACTAAACCAGGTTGTTCTTTAGTAATAGTCTCCAATTCTGGTACACTTGCTAAATCCTGTCAGAGATAAACAAAAATAAGAGATAAGTAACAAAGTATAGAAAAAAAAAAAAAAAAACAGATAAGAAAGCTTATATTTATATAAATACATGTATAAAGATACATATTTACAAAATGAAATTGTGCTAATAATAGATAATATTATGAAGTAAGCAAAAATATCTCTTCTCATACAGAATACAATATCTTACAACAAATGTTTCAAGAAAACAGAGGAGACTTCATATAAAATCCATGTATCAAGACCAAAACAAATCAATGAAATATGTCATTATTGAATATTTCCTCTTGATCAAACTCAAATATGTTGTACATTATATCTACAATTCATTGTTGTAAATGGTTTCTCATTTGTAAAGCATTCAAGTAATTACTGATATTATTTACACACAGAGAGACAGAGAGAGAGAGAGAGATATCTCTTATCTCGAAAAAATGAAATAACAATATCACATGTGCAAATTGTGAAAAAGATATGGAAAAAAAAATAAATAAATCAAATTACACTGATGATAAAGCGACACGTGAAACACGATGATGATCGCAAGGCGTCGGGTTATCTTCGCGTTGACAATCAAATTCGAGTCGATTTAATTTCAACTAGTGTTCGCTAGAGATGTTGAAATTTTTTACTTGTTGAAAATAGGAGGCGTACGTGCCGCACGTCGCGTGTTTGCGCTCTGCTCAACGATAACGAAACATTTATTCCAATTTGCATGCTCGCAAATAGCTGGTAACGATCTTAATTTCGTCACAAGTTGTAAATTACGATTTATAAAAAAAAAAAACACGACGTCGAACAAGCCGACGAGCGCGAACGAGTACTCGGCGTGTGCGCTACGTACTCGCGTTTCTTTTTTTTTTTTTTATTCTTCTCTCTTTGTAGATTCCTTTTCTTCGAAAATTCAAAAACGTGTGTTCGAACAAATCGCGAATTTTCTCAAGAAAAAGGGAAAGAGAGATGGTTTTTTTTCTTCTTTACCTCCCGAAAGAAAGCATCGGCGCGTTCCAGATCGGTCAGTTCGAAGTTGTCGACGTTGATCCGCTGCATCTCGCTGCTCCTGGACCTGACGGACACGTTCAGGCACTTGCAGGTGACGTGCATCTTTCAGCGATAATTCGAAAAAAAAACAATCAAACACACATACACACACACACACACGCGCGCGCGTTTCGAACCGGTGGTTCTTCTTGTATCTCTTCTGTTTCGTTTCAGAAATCGAAAGCGAGCAATTCGCGGATCCGTCCACTGCTCTCCCCGGAATCTTCCTCAAACGATCGACTATCTTCGATTCCGCTGTTGTCAAAACGTCGTTTCTGTCACCGCGCGAAGTACCGACGAAACGAAGCAACGTGCTCTGTCCTGCTTTTTTTTTTTTTACTTCTTTCCCTCTCGATTTACGAGCACCAGGTGATGTTCGGCGGCTCGACCTTTCGAAGAAGTTCGAGAGACGGGCGAGAGGATTCTCCGCGAAAAGAAAAATTTAATGTACGACGGTCACAGAGGACACGGAGCGAGGAAAGGGAGAAAAAAATCAGCGAGGACCGCGTGTTGTTGCTCGATTCTATCGTCGTCCGTGTACGTTTTTTTGGGAGACAAAAAAAATGCTGCGTTTTCACGAACGATCGATATATTCGCGAGTCGATGTGCGAGAGAAGAGAGGCCTGTGTAGGTGTGTGTGTTCTCCTCTTCACCCCCGGTGGATTGGTACGTGTCGAAATAATGGACGAATTGGACCGTCGAACCAGTTAGCTGCACAAAGAGAGGCGCGCGCCGGGGGATCTCGGTGAGGATCTCTCTCTTTGTCTCTCTCTCTCTTTCTCTCTCGCGTATAAATACCGCTACTGGAACACGCAGGTCATCTCTCGCGTTTCGAGGTTTGCGAAATCACCGTCGATCTCTCACCGCCGGTTTCAAAACGTTGTTTACTTTCACTCAGGTGCGTGTTTACATCGAACCCCAGTGCCAGCGCACGTCGGAATGTTTGCGCGAGTGTCGCGCGATCGCTCGCTGCCGGCCGATTCTGTTGTTACACATGTACAAAAACGCACGTACGTAAACGCGCGCGCGCAAAAAAGAAAAACAGAGATGGGGAAAGAACGAGAGAGCGGCAACGACGACGACGACGACGACGACGGGACAGCCGAGTGTTTTGTGAAAATTTGCAGGCGAGATCGCACGAGCGACTAAAAATAAACGCGAATTTACTGATGCGCGCAACAACAACAATGCCACCGAGACGAGAAGCACTCGGCTGGTCAATTGATCGACCGACGCCGATCGAGTGTCGCGCGCGCGCGCGCGCGATAAAGACGGAAACGTTGTTCGCGCGAAAGAGATAAGGAGAACCGATCGACGACGGCACGCGTACACTTTGATCCAATCTGGTTGCACTTTCTGCACTCGTTTCTCTCCCGTTTTCGCCGGAGTGCGAACATATGGTTTGCTACATTCTCCTCTGCTCTAAACGCAAAATGTCAACTGATAAAAAAAAGAGCTTTGGTTTTATGTCAGTAATTCTTGTGCTCTCGTTTGCTCATGCTTTATTTTTATTTATATATTTATCTACAGATACACTTATATACAATTTTACAATATATATATATATATCTTGCGGTCACACGCAACAGTATTATACAGGTGGTGACATCAAGATATGTTATCTACATAGTATACAAATATTATAAACATTATAAATTGTACAACATCATTCTAACTATTACAGTATATCAGGTAACGTTATTTGAAATGTCCTATTTGGAATAAAAATTTTTGCAAATGCTCCGTGCATTTTCTCTTCTTTATTCGTTACATTCTAGTTCCAAGTGTAACGTTTCTTTCTTCAATTTAAAGCACTCGTTGAAACGTATCGCAGCATATCTGAAAAATATTATAATAGTCGCAACAATTTACTCACATTGATATTTCTATCGCAACAAAATAACTGGGTCCACCGACCCAGTTGCACACATTACTTTGGCTCTACTGTGGCTCTGTAACAATCTATATCTCGACCGCTGTTATTACATGTTGCTATTATTCAGATTAAAAAGAACAAAAAAATAATAAAAAAAAACAAATTTTTGCGAAACAATTTACTTACTCCAAAAAGTCAAAGTCAATGTTCGAATGTTCGCTCTGAATGAGGGACCAGCAGCCCCAAAAGAAGTGAGGTAAGGAAGCGAATTTGGTTACTTGCCAGTACAACTTGTTAATTTCTTTCTCGGACACGTTACTCGTCGCGTTGTACGCTCGCAGGTATTCGCTTAACCACGCTTTCTGGAAAGTTTCATCCGGATACAAGGAATAATCCGGCTCGTCAAAACCTTAAATGTATTATATTTTTTACTTTTATTTAATAAAAATATACATAACATCGATAATGTACATAACTTACACGCAACAAAATGTATGCGAAAATAATATAACACAGCAAATAAGATGATAGTTTTTGTCGCTTTGCGATGTGCCTTACGCACGAAGAAGTACATATAATTACCAGAAAATTCAGTAAAGTGATTAATAATATCGAACGCCTGATAGTTGAATGCGGTGTACTCGTAATCGATAAAGACAACGCTCTTCTGTTTCCGATTATAAAGCACATTTCCCAATAGAAGATCGTTGTGAGCGTACACTACGGGACTGTTTACTTTCAAAAGTGTTTCCTTCATCGTCTGATATTCTTTCTCCAGTGTTGCGTACGACGGTATCAACATCTCGAACCTTAAAACGGAGGGAGGTTGTTAAAACACTTTAAGTCGCTTGAGTGTATTTTTTTTTTTTGAAATAACGCTAACGAGAAAGAGATAATTTCTATCGTGCTTACTTTGCTTGTTTCAGAGAATCGGTAAATCTTTTGGGCATAATTTGCATGAACGTCTTTATTTTGTCCCAGATGAAAGCTTCTCTCGGCGCAGACTCGTTGTCAAGTTGCAGCTTGTGCATCTGAGCCATACGCCTTGCGATTAACGGATATACCTCCGGATCTCTCACCGTCTCGTTGGTCAGGGTTTCACCTTCCAGAAATTGATAGGCAAATCCGTTGTTAAATGTAGCGTAAATGCAGTGAGTATAGCCAGCCTTGTTCAACGTCTAACACAGAGAGAGATATCCGTTGTACCTACTTTTATTAATTATTATTTAAACAGTCATTACACATTTTTGTTCGAATATACACGTGTTGATGCATGTAAATTTTAACGTTGTGTGATTGTAACCAAAAAACATACAGAACCATTCATATTATCAATAAACATATATATATATATATATATTATCAATCTTTAACATCTTTACCCGAATATGATTTATTTCACTCTTTCTGTCGATCAGTAAATCCGAATTATTGCCGTAAACCCTAATCAAAATCATATCTTCGTAATGTCCCGAGCACCATGTTCCTACTAATTTATTTGTTCTTCCATCGGTAAATAGCTGGAACAAAAAACAAGATATATACATTGCAACATTATTTACTTATATGTTACGTATTTAAAAAAAAATACACTCGAGCTGATTTAAGTAAACAATCGAAAGTAAACAGTCCCGTAGTGTACGCTCACGACGATCTTCTATTGGGAAATGTACCTTACAATTGGAAACAGGAGAACGTTGTCTTTATCAATTACGAGTACAACTATCGCATTCAACTATCAGGCGTTCGTTATAATTAGTCACTTTACCGAATGACACATGTAGATTTCACATCAAAATTATGTGAAGAATAAAATATTTAATTGATGAGTAAAGGGCCAATACGAGGAAAAGCACGAGGATATTACATTTCATCCATAAAATTTGTCCACAAAAAAAAATATTTGCTAGAATAGAAAGAAACTACTACATGATCAGCAAGAAAATTTTGTTGAGAGACGAAATATTTCGTTGGCGCAACAATTGGTCATATAATAGCAAAACTCTCAGTCTCTCTGTGTAAAGTCATCTCGTTAAGTAAATGAGTAAATAATTATCAGATAACTCATACAGATAAGAAGTCAAGTATAGCATTTATAGCGAATTCACTTTTGGCGATAAGCTATCAGTTGCCTTGAATTTTATTACTAGTGTAACGTCACGTTACACTCTATATGACAAAACAAACACAAAAAAAAAAAAAAAAAAAAAAAAAAAATTAAATATTACGTTACCTTAAAATGTAGTTGTTGCAAGGGCCACGATGGTCTAATTCTCTTTATAACGTCCTTAGCACCTTCAATAATTTCATTTTCATCTATTGTGATGTCAAGATGTTCTTCGTACTCGTTCATAGTTCAATGCTATTGATGAAAAACAAATTTTTCTAATTGAATTATTAGACAAAAGTGCGTGCAAGTGCGTGTGATATAAATTACAAAATAACTTTGGGTAACTTGGATCTTAATAAGATTATATTTGTGATTTGATTGATAGAAAGATTTTATGTGTGGGAAATAGAAAATTATTTTATTACACAAGAAATCCCCACAGAGATAATAAACTACTGCAATACCAAAGTGTTGTACACTGCGTTAACAACCACATGAGAGTAAAAATTACCGGTTATTGCTAATAAAACTTGTCAACCTGTCTAGTCTTCGTGAACACCCCACTGCAACTAATAAAAAAATTCACAAGGTACATGCTTATATATAATTCTGCTGATGCGACAGCGTGATACAGCCAATTGGAGTAACTTACGGTACATATCGTGTGTGTTCTTGTTTTCTCATAAAAACGTTAATCTTCATTCTATCAAGGATACATGTATATTCAAATACTGTACGTACGTATTTACATCAACAGACGAGTGAATCTAATAATTTTTATCTTACAAAAACAATTTTTTTTTTAGAGACAAGTATTTTCGAGGACCAAGTGCGTGCACAAAAGAATTTCTAAATTGACCGCAAAATTTTGCCACGACGATGTGTGTGTGCCATTTGTGTGCGCACTTGTTGATAAATTTTTTATAATTATCGACTGTACTATTGAAATTTCAACATTACGTCGCGTTACAAGAATAATGTACACATTGTTGAAGTGTGCGACGACGTGTCAACATATCTGAATAATTCAGTTCATTGTCCTCGAGACGCCAATGACTCAATTACTACTATATATATATATATATATGTATTCAAGCTTCTTAACATTTGTTATTGAAAAAAAGAGTACCTGTTCCGTCACAACGATTCTATCCTCCTGACAAGTACGAAGTGACGCACACAACATATGTACACACGAAGTAGTGAAGAAAGCGACAGCGCGCAATCACGACCAATCGCGAGCGAGCATCAGTGTGTGAGGTCAGATCGGATCAGCTCTAATCGACTGATGTTTTTTTTTTTAATGTGTTTTTGGTTGCGTATTTACCTAATACCACGCACGCGTGGTGTATTCCTTAACACGTTAGATACTTAACGCGTTTTGCACACATTTGTTTTCGTCATCAAAGTGACGGTCACGTTGTCAAAAAACGATACGCAACGTATTTTGCATTCAAACGACATAATAATTAGAAATTACTCTTATTTTGCATTAATTACATTTATAAATATACACGATTGTGCGCAAAAGGGAGATAATAATTTATGTAAATATATCGAAGAGATCGGCAATAGAGCCGAGAATCGAACCACGGTAGCAGAGAAATCCGAATTACCGGCGGTTCTGATCTTCACTATAGTTTAAGCCTTTAATAAGGTAGTTCCGATCATTGCTACGTAAGGCAGCACGAATCGAGATTCTCTAACAAAAAAAAAAAAAATGTTCGATGCGATCGCGTGTTTATTGCACTTTCTGCACTCAAAAACGAGACGGTCGTACAGTGTTGGAGAGAGAAGGGAAAGAGATGAGGTGAAGAACGCGAAGGTACACACAGGAGGCGCAACGCGCAACCGAGTACAGCAACGGGAAACTGATGGTGAGGGTGAGGACAGCATGTGTGTATTTACATACTGTATATAAATTGTTTGAATTTTGAATGAGAGTGGATGGCGGACTTACGCCAAACTTTATCGCGCAACAGTACATTAAGTTGATGTCATTTTTTTGTGTCGTTGTTATTGTATATAAATTTTCGCAATGCAAAACATTGCAGTTTAGGAATTTTATATCGCGCGATTAAATGCCAATTGTGTTGTACGTGAGAACGTCCCTTTTTAACCTCTCAATGAATATGTACATTACGATATTATTGTAAGAAAATATTTTTATACGCACACACAACGTGTATATTTGCCTGATTGTTTGGTCGTGCTAATTATTTAATTAATGTCAATAAAGTGGATGTGTACAAAGAAAAATTGTTTCAAACTTACAAAGTACTCCAGTGAGAGACATTATGTAAACTTTGTTTGTTTAAAAATTGTAACACAGTCTCGTAATAAGAGTGCAAAACGATGATGCTCGGTCAAAAGAGCACCCAGTCTTCTATTGTAGGATTTCTATCAAAGGCAGCAAATAAGAACAACAACTCTTTGCAATCCAGGTAGGCCAATCTTGCGTTTGTAAAATTATGACGTTTCTGTGACATGTATTGTATGTTTTAGTTCAAAAGTAAAGAAAGATTATCTTTTAGCACACCAAAATCAACGAATGAAGAGTTGGATTTAAAGGATGACCCATTGAAGGATTCATGTTTCAGTAAACAAGAAAAAACACCTAAAGATCTGAGTAATATAGATTCAATAATAGATCTTGTGAGATTTATAATTTTATTTTGACATGAATGATATATTCACTCAATATACTATAACTGATGAAATTTTATTAATTTGCTAACATTCCCAAAATGCAGGATAATATAGATACTTCAGACTCAGGCCTACTTCAGACAAGTCCTGTCAAAAAGCAATCGTATGTAATTTACAACAAAGAACCGTATTACATTGAAAGTTCAATGGAAGAGAAAGAGAGTATCAATGAATTCAGTTCTTTGGAGAAGAATACCGAATCTTTGCTACTCTTGGAAAGTCCGAGCAAGAGTAACAACGAATTTGCAAAACCATCTCTCATTCCTGAATCTTCTGACAGTGAAGAAGATAGAAAAAACGTTAGAAGGTTCTTGCGATTAAATCGAAAACCGAATGAAACAATGGCGAAAGATGAAGAAAAGCAGACTATTGTATCAAAAACTGGTTACACCTCGGAATGCAATAGTGAATATTTGCCTTCTAGCAGTGAAACAGTTTTAGACAGAAGGGAGGAAAATGTCAAGGAGCATCTAAGAACTCCTAAGAAACACATTAGTAATAAACAACGGAGAAAAGATATTATTTCTGATTCTGACACTGACAGCCCTCGGTCAAAATGCAGTAGCAAGGAATCGCCGAGAAAAAAATGGGTAGGCCCGGATCCTAAAGTGAACTTGAAAGATTTAGGTTTGAACAAGAAATTAGGTTTATGGATTGAGTCCACACGAAAGAAACCAGTAATGTCTTTGATACCTGTAAGTTATTAAATATATTCGAAATTTATATATACATAATATAAAATAAAGATACCAGCTGTACATGTTGATGTTTTTTTAGACTACAAAAGATAAACTGTCAGAAAGGCGTGACAATTTGAAAGATCTTCAAATTGAAATTCTTGATAAGTTCTGCAACGCATTTGAGATGATTCCCATACCGATATTGGAAAAATTTCCGAAATTCGATTTGGACACTTACACGAAGCTGCAAGATCTCAATCGACATGTGAAAGCTAAGTTACGTTTGGTGCAAACAAAATTGTCAAAGTTACAAAATGAGGATGAAATCTCTACATCTGAATCTGTAAAAACTCCTGGATCTACATCCAAGTCAGCCGAGATATCGTCTTCACCTGTGCTTGAAAGTCACGTTATAAGTGAAAATTTCAACAAATCAAGTCCCTCGATATCGAAAAAGCTAGATTTCTATCAAGATTCTCCAAATAAGTCGTATGTACAGGAATATAATAGTAACATGGAATCAGGGTCGACGCCGAAGTCTCACGAGAATGCAGTTACGAATAAAAAGAGTACTTTTCAATTGAAAAGACCAGTCAAGACGGTATTGGGTACTGAGATTTCTAAAACAATAGCAGAAATGTGGGAGAAAGAACAGCTGTCTAAGTCAGTGAATTCACCAACGGATTCGAGCGTCGTTTCTGTAAAAGATAATACATTCAATGGAAGTGTCATTACATCACCAAAAAATGAAAATAATACACATATGCAAAGAAGCATCAGGGACAGTCCAGATAACTGGATTAAGAGTAATACATTTCAGAGTAAGCAGATAAAAAATTGATTGATCTTTCGCTTTCTTATTTTCTTATTTAATGTGAAAATTCTTAAAGAGAAAATATTTTGTAGATACTTGTCAGACATTTTCTACGAAATCTGAAACGCTACCGGAAGATCCAGAAGAATTTCCAGCGTTGGGAGAAGATTGTAATATAGAGGACAATTTTAATTTAGGTACAAACACAATTCTATTCCATTTATGCGCTGATAATCTGATAAACAGTGTGCTTGTTTTATTTTTTTTTTGTTACAATAGACTGGTGTAATGAATCTCCTCCGCAAAACAAGAAAAATGATAACAAGGGAAAGTCGAAAATGGAAAAACCTGTGGAGTTCGGGACATTCACTGGAAATTACAAAAATGACGGCATCAGTGGAGAATTCGATAGTATGACGTATCCACATTCGCAAGAAATGTTAAAGGTGCACAAAATAAGAATTTTTTTATTTATGCGAATATAATGCTGTTGCGTAATGACAAGTTTACTTGCGCGTAGATGTTATAATAATCAATAATCTCATTTGATTTTAGATATTTCGACAAAAATTTGGTTTATATACATTTAGGCCAAATCAGTTGCAAGCTATCAATGCAACGCTTTTGGGATTTGATTGTTTCATTTTGATGCCGACCGGAGGCGGGAAATCTCTTTGTTATCAATTACCCGCGCTATTGAGTGCCGGAGTAACAATTGTTGTGTCTCCATTGAAGAGTCTTATTTTAGACCAAGTTCAAAAACTCATTTCACTCGATGTAAGAGAATGTGCGCCATTCTTAAAACAAAAAAAAAAAACAAAAAAAAACGTGCGCTATCTTTAAATTGTCTCGGTCTGAAATATTTTTTCAGATTCCTGCCGCTCATTTATCCGGTTCTTTGACAGACAATCAAGCAGAAGCGGTGTACAGGGAACTCTACAAAAAAGAACCAGTTCTCAAGATATTGTACGTCACGCCGGAAAAAGTTTCCGCCTCGCAGAAATTCTGTAGCACTTTGACAACATTGTACGAAAGAGGATTGCTGGCGAGATTTGTCATTGACGAAGTGCACTGTGTCAGTCAATGGGGCCACGACTTCAGGCCTGATTACAAGAAACTGAAGTGTCTGAGGGAAAATTATCCGAAAGTGCCAACAATGGCTCTAACTGCGACGGCTACACCGCGTGTGAGAACAGATATTTTGCACCAGTTAGGTCTGACTAATCCCAAATGGTACGTAATTTGTTATACAAGCGGGAGTGTTTGTTTCTCTATGCGTATACGTTTTCATACGCGTATTGCTGACAAAATATGTATGTATCTCTAGGTTTATGTCGAGTTTTAACAGACCCAACTTGAGATACAGCATAATATCGAAGAAGGGGAAAAATTGTTCCGACGAGGTAGTTGCTATGATACTGACGAAGTTCAGAAACACTTGCGGCATCGTGTATTGCCTGTCGCGCAAGGACTGCGACGATTACGCCGCGCAAATGAAAAAGAACGGTATCAAAGCATTAAGTTATCACGCGGGACTCACGGATAATCAGAGAAGCCAGTGTCAAGGAAGATGGATATCCGATCAGGTACATTCTTATTCTAAATGTGTGTGTTTACACGTCGCGCGTACTTTGTATTATTTTTAAAACGTATTTTTCGTTCGAACACAGATACACGTTATATGCGCGACTATCGCCTTCGGAATGGGCATTGATAAACCGAATGTGCGTTTCGTGATACACGCGTCTTTGCCGAAGTCCATAGAAGGATATTACCAGGAGAGCGGTCGCGCTGGTCGTGACGGCGAGATAGCGGAATGCATTTTGTTTTACAATTACACGGATATGCACAGGATTCGCAAAATGATCGAATTGGACAATCCGAATCCACAAGTGATTAGCACGCACATGGACAATTTGTTTAAAATGGTGGCGTTCGCGGAAAATACCACGGATTGTCGCAGGTCGCAGCAACTCAATTATTTCGGGGAATTATTCGACAGGCAACAATGCATCTCAAATAAGGCAACCGCATGCGACAATTGCCGAAGCAAGGTACGAGTTTTGAATCGATAGTGTCGGATCATTGGAACAAATGCGTACTGAGAATTTACTCAAAACGATATTGTTATTTTTGATGCATAATTTTAGGAGGAAATTACGATGATCGACGCGACCGGAGACGCGAGAGAAATTTTGAAAGCTGTGCGAGATATCATCAACAAGAAGAATTGCAATCTCACGTTGGTGTTTTTAACGGACATTTTCAAGGGCAGTGATCTCAAGAAAATCAGAGAGTCAGGTTCTTATCCAATTCGTCAATTATGCGATAACAACATAAGTAAGTTTTTCAATGTATATTCGGATTGTATAAAATTTAATTTTTCCGCAGGTCTTAAAAGTCATCCTTTGTATGGTCGCGGAAAAACGTGGAATAGATGCGACATAGAACGTCTTTTACATCACATGATACTGGAAGAATATTTGCAAGAAACCATGTACATTAACAATGAGATCACTTGCGCGTATGTGAAAATCGGACGAAAAGCGAGTGAACTTATGACGAGGAAAGACGTGAAGGTATATAACTTCAGTAAGAAGATAATAACATTGTCACAGAATAATCGAACCTCCCCTATCAATATTAATATTTTCTCAAGTCATACGTATGTGTATATCTTGTTATTGATATGTATATTGTTACTTTCAACACGCAGGTACAGATCCCAATAAGAAAATCGAACAAATCTACAAGTGGCGTGGCCACAGTTTCAACGGTGAATTCGAAGGAGGTTGATAACAATATTAAGGAATTGCACGATCGTTGCTACGCCGAGTTGATGACGATAATAAGAGAAATTGCCGACACGCTGGACGTCTCGGCTTCCTCTATCATGAACATGGTGGCCATTCGTGTCATGAGCCAGCGTTTACCGGATACCGAGGAAGCTATGTTGCAAGTGCCACACGTCACGAAAGCTAACTTTGTTAAATACGGCAGGGCTCTCTTGAACATCACGCAGAAATACGCAGCGGAGAAAATTGGTACATCTTGTGTATAAACATAGAAAGTGTTTACAAAATGTTGTATGTTGTAAAGAAGTGATATTTTGCATTGATGATATTATTTTATCACATTTCACAGTATTGTTAAATGAGCTCAAAGAAGAACAGAATAATATTAGTGATGACGATAATGATTGTTGGGACGATGACAACTCTAGTACCTATAGTGGAAGTACTAGTAACCGTCGCGGCAGGAAACGAAAGTATGGTAACAATTCCACCACCACCGCTACCAAAAGATATAAACGAGGCGGTTCAAGGTGACACAGAGAATTATAAATTATTTCACACGTTATTGCATATTGTAACGAATTTAAATTGTTCTTCTTGTTCTTTTATTACAGCGCGCGGAGGGGAAAAGGTTCGAGAGGCGCGTCAAAAGCTTCATCGAGAGGTTCTTCGAAAAGTTCAACGGCCACGAGACAAAACGCGAGCACAAAGAAAGTGATAGGACTCGCAAGTTTCAGCCAAACGAAGCAATATCTCTCGAATCCCAATAGATACATGAACATTAATTAAACGATTTTTTTTAATCTCTATAAATTATTCTCCGAGGTTTCTTTTCGCGCGCGCGGTGATGTACGCGTCTTCATGTACGAATTTCACAGTGTTCAAAATGTTCTACGTGCTGTTTTCCTACAGAATAGAATGTTCGGTATCTTTTTGTTTTTAATAACTCTAGCAAAAAAAAAAAAAAAGACAGGTTGCTGATTACAAATTTTCTAATCGTTCGCGATACGTGTGTATATAAAATAAGACTTTTGTACAATAAAATAGTTTTTACACAAACGAGTCAGAAAAGTTGGTATTAAAAATATGCGATGACATCTAATCATTTCACACACAGGAGCAACGACAAAAAGGGAAGAAAACTCTTGATTTCTCCGAGAAAAGAAGATTAATTCCACTCTACTCGTTTCTTTATTAACTCTCCTCATATCACACGCAACAACTTATTGAGATAAATTTACATCGGGGACTAGAAGTTACTTTACTACTGTACACATTTTTACACACTTCCAAACACATTACTATACAGATGTTTATTTACAGATCCGGTTGAATTATCCTGGCTTGTCGATCTTCGTTACGAACGTGTTTTTTCAACATGTCCATCACCTCGTTATCGAATTCGGACGGTGTTGGTTTAACGCCGCTCGCCCAGTAAAATATATCCCAGTCGTTGCTGGGCAGATTTATGAGCCGGTCGTACAATCTCAATTGCGTATCGTCAAACGTGTCCAAGTACTTCTTCGCGAACGTGCTTAGAAGCAGACCGTTCTCCAGCATGCCGCGTTTGCGGGACTGATACACCAGTCTGTGGTAAATAATAACAAATCACAAGATATGATAAACAAGTTGCGTGACCTATACAACGCGTCGTATGTCCCGACGCGCGGGACGGATTATCCTACACGATTGAGGCTCGAGTGTTGACGTGTTACGTGAAACGTTAGATACCGTGCTCTCTTGAGATCCGCATCTTCTCCGTCGCGTTCCACGTACCGCGGGATACTGGGTTCCCGACCATCCGGATGAATCAGATCTTGGAAGTCGTCCTTCGGCCTGACGCAACTCGTCGACACGCATCTCACGCGCAAAAGCGTTCCAACCTAAAAACACGACTCGCCTGGTTTGTAATAAACTTTTAAAAAAGTCAAGAGAGTCTTAATTAACGCTTTCAACTTACGCTGGACGTGACACGACGAACCGCGGTATTCATTATTGAGAAAACGATTCTTCCGCGCGTGCAACTAATTGACAAAATCGTTTTCGTTTTAACTCGACTACAACCTTTGTGTTTGCAAACGACACTCCACGACACTCCGTCGTTTGACAACTGCCGACACACACACACACACAACTATACATACATCCGGTTCTCTCAAACTTCAAAATCATGACGCAACGCGCGTCCGCAAATAACACAAGTAAGTAATAACGCGAAGAAAAGAATAATTAATTTAAAAAGAGATAGGATTATTGTTTTTAAATTATTATTTTTAAAAATTCACATGTATTTTTTTTTCACACGCGAGTTTAATTCAAAAAAATGTTCACAAATATCAATTTGTGTGTCGTGCTCTTTGACTCTCGAAGGTCGCGCTCGGTGAAACTGAAATAAAACTGCATTTGTTTACGAGATTTCAGTACATCGAGCGGATTTAATTATTTTAAACTTAATCAATATTGTGCGAAGAAAATTTATGCAATTGCAATGAATAATAAAGAATTTCTGATATTTATTTTTAACAGAGAAACAAATTTGTATACGATTACGTTTCAGAAGTGATGGCGAAGAGGACTTAAAGAAAAAACTTCCGGAAATCGGTGTTTTTGGCTTTTTTTTTTTATTTTATGTATTCACAAACGTTACACATGTCGACTACGCGTACAGGACTCGCAATCCACACACCATCATCATCATCATCATGATATATCATACGCTACATTATCACTCGCTTGCGTGGGCCCGAAGACCCCTAATAGAGGTACTGATTAATTATGCTCTTTTCGGATTCCTCCTAAATCAAATACTCGTTCGCGCAATTTATCATTACGTGTACGTGTGAGCGCGTATATCTATATAAATTTTTCGTATATTTACATACGCGGTGGATGAACGCGCAATCGCGTCTTTATTATTATTATTATTTATTATTATTATTATTATACGTTACAGCCGTGCGAATCGGCCGAGCGTTTTTTCCTTCGCGAATTTCTCGTTCCGAGACGACAAATTTTCGGAGAAAACAACGCCCCGCCGGCTCGCGCTGACTCTCTCCTTTATCGTAATTTGAAAAAATATGCGGTATTATTATTATTATTTTTTTTTTAACGAAAGGCTTGGACACGGGTGGTTTATATTCTCGTCGTCGGTCTCACTCTTCTCTCCGACCGGATCTATCCTATAGCTGCTGCGAGTCCTCTCTCATTAGCGATCTCTCTCTAAATTTTTCTATCTCTACTGAAAATCGCGGCGCTTCTCTTCTTTCACTGTTTGAGCATCGTCTGGAAAAGCATCTCGGTTGTGATGCGATTTTCTTAGTTTTTTTTTCTTTTTTCTCTTTTTTTATATATATATATATATATATATATAAACAGTAAGTCCGGAAGGTTAAGTTTATTTCCTCGAAGGCACTATTGTACGCAAATGAAAAACGTCCGCCTTGAAAAGTATGCGCTTTTTCAAAAACTAGCCGAGTGTCTGTCCTGAGCTGGATGTGTGTGTTCATTTTACTCTACATAGCGAAGCGCTCGATAGGCGCGGCGGCCTCAGATGAGATCTCTGATCAATAAAAAAAAGAAAAAACAATCTGCCGATCGATTATAAATCCACCGATTTCTCACACCGGCAAACGCTCTCGTCGAAATCTAAAAAAAAAAAAATCGATTCGTTCAGTCGCCAATCGTTTTTTCTTTTTTTTCTTTTTTTTTTCCAAAAAAAATCGTACAATACTCGGTCGAAGCGACTAGATTTTTTGCGCGGAACAAATTTCATTTGTAATATGCGACGTGATCTCGCGACTTCATGCAACAGAGCTTTGTAAGATTAATGAACAATACATGTAAGTGAAACAACAAAAGTAGCTAGCTAGTACTTTCATTGTGTGCGCGCGTGCAAATAGTGAAATAAAAAAATAAATTTGTTATAATAATGATGTATTAACGTTTTGTACATTGTAACAGATTTATTATGCAAGTAAAACATAATAAATTTTTTTTATTATGTAAATGACGCTTGAGATCAAGTCGTTCGATTGACCACTGAACAATACCGGGGAACAAAAAGAAAACGACCGTCGTCGTTCGTTCTTTTTCTTTTTTTTTTTTTTGTTTAAATAAATTTTGCCTTATCCGTTTCCCTGCCGAAGACGCCTTTCGATATATAGATCATACGCTTGTGTTAAGGAGGGATCTCACAGTTAAACAAATTTTGCTCTTCTCAAATGTTAACGCATGAATAATCATTATCAAACTTTTTTCTGAATACACACATATCACAATGCGGATCATATCGTATATTAAAGAAAAAACAAACTCATATTCTCTATTCTTTCTCATAAATATACGTGCCTTATAGAAATTATTAATATATTGTTTATACTTTGACTGTCACGTGTTGTCAGTTGCCCCGAGAAATTTCTCACATCAAGTGAGTTTCTCAAATAGAAAAAAAATATAATCTTCTCAAATTATATAAGAAATACATTGGAAATCGTATATATATATATATATGATTATATGTACATATATACATATATATATATATATAATCATATGATATAAATTGGAAAGGAAATAACTCGTCCAAAGTAAAGTCTGAAAAACCAAAGTGCGTGTAAATAAAAAAAAAAAACTTTGGCTCGCGACGTTTGCTTTTGCGAAATTATTTTCTTCGGCAAAAATCTTATTTTTTTTTCATTGATTTTCTACCTCTACTTTGAGAGAAAAAACATTTGATATCTGCAGTCGAGTGCGACACAATAGAAGTGAGAGCGTGTCCGCGCGATAGGATGACAAGTGGCAGTCAAAGTATTAAATCGCTTAGCAAGATTACTCAATAATGAAACAAAAACAAATAAAAGAAACAGATATATATGTGCAAATTCAATAATTGATCAAAATCTTATACAAAGAGCTCAAAAATATATATATATATATATGTGTATATATGTACGTGTATATATAGGTCCCTCCTCAAAACGCAAACATTACGTGTCACCACGTTTAATACGCATAAACACAAATTAAATGTATCTCGCGATCTAATATACAATGTATAATCTTTGATATATGAAATAGTTTTTATACATTTTTCTTAAAGTAGCTAGTAACCCCGCCCTTTTTTTTTTAAGCTCTAGATGTAAAAGTAAGATTAATTAGCAATATATATATAATATATATATATATATATATATATATATTATATAAGTAACAATGTGTGTGAGAATTTTCTATAATACGCATGTGTGTATAATCTTTTTTTTTTTTGTTTTTTTACATCTAGACATGGTCTCTCTCGTGTCGCAGTTTAACTTTGGATAAAAACTATTTACATTATATGCTATATATATATATCTCTCTCTTTGTTTTTTTTCTGCAAAGGAAACAGTACGTCGAACGATGTATAATATCAACATAATATGGAACAGTACAAATTTCGTTTTTTTAAATTTCTTTTTTTTTTTTTTGTTGTTGTTTGATGAAAAAAACTTTCGAGAGAACACTCGGTACACTTTTGACTTCGCGCACCGAGATCGTATCAACGTCGTTGTTTCTTTTCAGAATGAATTGTTTTTGTTTTGCAATTTGTTTTTCAACATTTAACGATTCTCAAGGCGCGCCACGAGGACCAAGCCCGTCATATCATGTATAAATCATTTATTATCTACTTTTATCTCGTACAATATCTTAGACTCTTAATGATTCTTAAACTATTAAGTCCGGTCATCATTCTTAGGACTCGCTTGCGCTTAAAAACTAATACGGATATAAGTCTATAAATCGCTTAAGATAATGAAATATGAAAATATGTACAATAATCAGCGCTGTCAATTATTTTTACTCGTTCTTTTTTCTTTTTTCATATGTGGCACCATCTGTATCAGTTATATAAACTACAATTGCGACTGGAAAATCAGACTGGAAATTATTTGTGCTAACCTCGTTCTCTGTCTGTTCTTTCCTTCTTGTGTCCGAAAAAACGTCGTTTGACATCTCTCTCTTTCTCTCTCTCTCTCTCTCCCTCCCTTTCTCTTTCTTTCACAATTCAATCTTTAGTTTATCGCGCAACAACGCGTGTTTTCGCAAACGACTGTACATTCTTCAACCACATTCTTGATAACACTAGTAAAATGTTTACGCACATTTCGTTGTATACTTGAAAATATATAAAATTCAAACGTGAGATGATAATAGCAATTAAACTATTATTAATTTACATCGGTAAAAAATCCGTTCGTGATATGAAGAACGTGATTGGCGTTTTCGTTCTATTTTTAAATTCTCGTGAACGAGTCATCTTTTTTTTTTTTCGAACACAGAGACATTCGATTGTCGCTTCTTAAGAATCTTCAGCATGTGTTATTATCTCATCGTTTTTTTTCTCGTACGTACTTAGAAGAAGGAACGTGAAAGACGAGCACGTCCTGTTTTTTTTTCTTAAATAAGAGTAAACATATATATATATATATATATATATATATATATATTTATATATAATATAATTATCTGTAGTAGAAGCGAGATAGTTTACGTTATTTTTAAATACGCGCGCGCGTAAATCATTCTTTAGTGCGAAAGTTAACTAGTGTCACATGATACGGCCTATGCGCGTTAATTAAATCCCCCTCGTCATTGTTTCAAACGATCCAAGTTCAATTCCAAGATTTCGTTAAAACGTTAAAAGTTCGCGCGCCGTTTGACTGTGTCCAACTGTTCAAATATGCAACAACAGAAGACGATACGTTTCACAAAAACAAAAGAAAGTTGCGCTGTGAAAGTGTTTCGATAGGAAGACGAAAAAAAAAAAAAAAAAAAAACAATCCAAAAGCCGTCGAATGCACAAAAGTTGCGTATCGGAGCTTCTCTTCGTACTCGTCTGTCATTACACGATTAACTTTATGCGAGGTCTCACGAGGTTTTCTCTTTAATCTCGACAAACAGCTATTTGATTAATTAATTAAACGCGCAGTTCAGTTAACACACACATTTCGAGAACACGCGTACAAATATCTTTCGTACTTCTACACGCTATTGCTAAAACACAAATGTTCTTGTCTTTTTTTTGAGCTCAAGGTTGAACCAAAGTCAAGTTTCGCCTTTTTCTTCACTTTTGTCTTGATATTTAAGATTGTGCGGACATGTTCGCCGCGTAAAAAAAAAAAACTTTTATATCTATTCTCTCGTTATACTCAAAGGTTTTCACAAAAATAAAAAAAAAAAAGTATCTATCAACGGAAAGTAATGTTACTTCTGCATCGAGCAACGGAGATGATTATTATCGCACTTGTACAAAAAGATATATTTCTGTCAGTTTAACAAATTCGATTTTTTTTTTTTTTTTTTAACGCTACTTTCCGTTCACCCTCGCTCTATAAGCGTTATTGCTAATTACACAGGATTACATTGGTATCACCTTTCGATTCTATTTCGCTGTGTTTTTTCTTTGTTATAAAAAATTCTGATAAACGATGCGCGACAATGCAGCAGGTTTGATGCAGTGACTAGTATTTGTGTCAGGGACGACACTTACGAGATGAACAATTTCTCGCACACAGAACACACGTGATCATCTCACGAATATCAATTTTACAAAAAAAAAAAAAAAAAAAAAAAAAAAAAAAAATAAAAAAAAAAATAACAAGCAACCTCTTGATCAATTCAATTGGGATTNCGAGATGAACAATTTCTCGCACACAGAAC